AGCCACCCGTGGGTACCGGGGGGCTGGAATGGGAGGGTGGGACGCAGGTCCTCTCGCTGCGTGTTGGAAATTAGACTAGCCCGGGCATCCAAGAGTCGGAAGAATACAGAGCATACCTGGGGCTACAGAGATGGAACCACGGGCCGAGTGCTTTTGCCTTGCATGTCGCCTACCCAGGTTTGACCCCCCTGATACCCCATGTGGCCCCCAAAAACCCCACCAGGAGTGATCGCTGAGCACAGAGTCAGGAGTCAGCCCTGAACAGACCTAAATAAATAAATAAAAATAACAGAAAGGAAAAATAGAAGGTAACGGTGACATTTGAAAACTGGTTGAGTCAGTGATAGAGATGGCAAGAGGTCCCAAGAGCATCGTGGTCAGACCTTGATGGAGGCAGTGCAGCTGGCTCTTCCGGTGCTGTCGGGGTAAGAGCCCAGCCCCCATGCTGTAGGCAGGTCACTTCCCTTCTCAGCCTCAGTTTTCTCCCTGGAAGATGAAGACACTAATAGCATCTCTCTTGGGGAATTGCAAGGGAGACGCTTGCAGCCATCCCTGTTTTTGCCAGCACTCACTTCTCGTTTCCAATGATGGCAGTCTGGTTGCTGGGAGAGGAATTGAATGGAGAAAAGCTAAGAAATTCAGGGGGCCGAAGATACAGTACAGTGGGTAGAGTGCTTGCCTTGCACACAGCCAGCCCAAGTTCTGTCTCCTGCACCCATATGGTCGCCCGAGCCAGCCAGGAGTGATTCCTGAGTGCAGAGCCAGGAATAAGCCCTGAACATCGCCGGATGCAGCCTCCAAACCAAAATAAATAAATAAAATTTAAAAACAGACCTTCAGGGCTGGAGGATAGTACAGCGGGTAGGATGTTTGCCTTGCACGTGGCCAACCCGGGTTCGATTTCCAGCATTCCATATGGTCCCCTGAGCACTGCCAGGAGTAATTCCTGAGTGCATGAGCCAGGAGTAACCCCTGTGCATCGCCGGGTGTGACCCAAAAAGAAAAAAAAAAACATTCGAAGTCAGCTCAGTTCTATCTCATTGTCACAGGAAAGCCCGAGTTGGCGGCTAAAGTCTGAAGTGGGCATCTCCCTGGTCTTTGCTGAATGACCTTCTGCGAAGGTCATCAGGACTTTTCTAAGGCAGCCATCCCCTACCCCCACCCCGCCCGCTGGAGCAGCCCCGCTCCGTACCCCTGTTAATATATCCCTAGACTTGGACTGAACTTTGGTGACTCCTGCATTCCAAAAATTCCATCTCTACACTTCGTAGGCAGGCTCAACAGAGAAATGGGAAAATCAGGGGAGAGATTGGAGAGGAAATCAAAAGGGAAGAGGCGTGTGTTTGTAATTACTTCCAGGTCAACGTTAGGAAATGGTCTGTGCCACCCCCGGGTTAAACAGATTGAAGGAGAATCACGATCGTTTCAGCACCTGTCAGAGAAGCATCTGATGGCCTTTAGAACCCATTCCTAAAGGGCATAGAGGTGAGGAACTAAATACCAGAGAGCTAAAAATAGAGGGTCACTCACTATTTGCAAACTATACCATCATTTAATTGAAAAACCTAAGAGAATCAATGACAATCCATTAGAACTAATAATAAGGGAGGTTAGCCATGTGGCCAGACACAAGCTCTGCATATAGAAATCTGTAGCTTTCTTACACGAATTCTGGCGAAAACAAAATGATCTTGAAAATGTAGGTTTAAAAAGATCCCATCCACAATATTAAAAGGATTATGCAATAACTAGCAATAAACCTATCAAGAAATATATAAAACCCACGTGAGGGAAACTATAAAATTTTACTGAAGATTCCAAAGTTGTGAATAATGAAAAGAGATGCTTATGTTCCTTGGTGGGAAGACTTGATATTGCAATGATGCAAATTCTCAAATTAATCTATAAATTTAATCTTAGCAGGATTAAAATCTTAGCTGAATTTTTTTTTTTCATAGAGCTTTGTAAGCTAATTCCACAATCATGTGCAAGACAAAATGTCCAAGAATAGCCAAGAAAACAGCAGCAAGGTATAATATAGAACCAAGGGATCATAATGCTGAGTTACTGGAAAAGGAACAGATCTGTCAGTAGGACAGAACAGAGAATCCAGAAACTCGTGATTATATAGAATGCAGTTATATTAAAGGTGGCCTTTCAAATTGGAAGGAACTTTTAACAACCTTTTGAGATAATTCCTACTATTTGGAAAGAAAAGACTTTTGGGGTTTTTTTTGTTTGTTTGTTTGTTTGGTTTGGTTTTTTGGGGCCACACCTGGCGATGCTCAGGGGTTACTGGTTACTCCTGACTCCACACTCAGGAATCACACCTGGTGGGCTCAGGAGACCATATGGGATGCCGGGGATGGAACCTGGTTGAGTGCATGCTAGGCAAGCGCCCAACTGGTTGTCCTATCACTCCAGCTAGAGGCCATGGAATACTAGCAGCAGACTACAGCAATGCAAGGGTTTGACAGCTGTACAAGGAAAATACTTGCTACCTTGTAGGAGCTTGTCTTCTTAAAATGGCATCAAAGCTATGGGAAAAAGGATTGACACATCTGACCATTTAGAAACTGAGAACTTCACTGTTGCCAGGGTAGGATTCTTTTCTAAAGAATGCATACCAGGGGGCTGGAGTGATAGCACAGCAGGTAGGGCATTTGCCTTGCACACGGCCAACCTGGGTTCGATTCCCAGCATCCCATATGGTCCTCTGAGCACTGCCAGGAGTAATTCCTGAGTGCACAAGCCAGGAGTAACCCCTGTGCATTGCCAGGTGTGACCCCCCCCCCCCGCCCAAAAAAAAGAAAAGAAAAAGAAAAAAGAATTCATACCAGGAATAACATAAAATAATTTTATCACCTCAAAATAAAAGAAAAAAATACGTAAAGACATCAGGAGACACTTGAAGGACACTAGAAAGACTCATACGTATTTCTAATATGTAAAATAAAAATGGAAAAAAATATAAACTAATAATGGCTATGTGTGCAAAAATAACTCTTTGTTCCATTTTGGAGCCACACCTAGTGATGCTCAGGGCTTACTGCTGGCTCTGCATTCAGGAATTACTCCTGATGGTGCTTGGGGATCATGTGGGATGCCGGGGATTGGATTCAGGTCAGCAGCATGCAAACCAAGAGTATCCACTGTACTATCACTCCAGCGCCCCCCCCCGCCCAAATAGTTTCTAAATAGTGAAAAACATAATTACCTAAAAAAAAAAACAAGAAGCAAAGGGCTGGGGGAAAAGTAACAAGAAGCCGGAGAATTAGTAGAGGGATAAGGCACTTGCTTTGCACGTAGCTATTCCTGGTTCAACCCCTGGCACTGCATATGATCCCCCCCCCCCCCGCCAGTACTGACAGAAGTGATCCCTGAGCAGAGGGTCAAGGAGTGAGCCCTGAGCATCACTGGGTGTGAACCTCATCCCTCACCCCCAATAAATAAAATCAAGAACAAAACAAGATGCCCATCATCATCATTATTCAGTGCTGTTTTGGAAATCTAGGAAATACAATAGACCAAAAAATGAAATATTTGGCATCAATATGGAGAAGAAAATGTTAAATGTTTCTAATATATAATTTTACACTCATAAAAACCAGTAAGTGGGGCCAGAATGATAGTACAGCGGGTAGGGCATTTACCTTGCACATGGCCAACCAGAGTTCGATCCCCAGCATTCCATATGGCCCTTTGAGCACCACCAGGAGTAATTCCTGAGTTCGAAGCCAGGAGTAACCTCTGAGCCTCAAAGGCCCCTGAAGAAAAAACAAACAAAAAAACAAACAAAAACCCTAGTAAGTCCTAAGCTGGAACATAGCACAGTGGGTGGGGCCCTTGCCTTGCATGCAGCCAGCCTACCTTGGTTTGCTCCCCAGTGTCCCAAATAGTCCCCCGAGTCTACCAGGAGTCATCTCTGAGCACAGAGCCAGGAATAAGCCCTGAACACTGCTGGGTGTGGCTCCTTCCCCATCCACCCCCCACAAAAGGGTAAGAAATCAAAACTAATTCTACCTAGTCACGGTCACGGTCCTCCCGTTATTCATCAATTTGCTCGAGCGGGCCCAGTAACATCATCGTGAGACTTGTTGTTACTGTGTCTGGCATATCGAATACGTCACGAATACAGGCTCTGCCGTGCGGGCGAGATACTCTCGGTAGCTTGCCGGGCTCTCCGAGAGGGGCGGAGGAATCGAACTCGGGTCGGCCATGTTGGCCGCTTGCAAGGCAAACACCTTACCCGCTGTGCTATCGCTCCAGCCAGTAAGGTTCTTTTTTTTTTTTTTTCCTGCGGGAGCTGCATAAGGAGCTCTTAGCTGGGATCAGAGTTGATGATTAGTTTGAGAGTGCTGTACCCAGCAGTGGTCCGGAATCCTGGGGAGCCAGGGCAAGGCTGGTGCCCATCCACTTGAGTCAAGTCCCTGGCCCAGATCAGTTTCCTTGAAGTTCATTGGATCAGTAAGTCCCTGAAGATAGCTGAGAAAAGTAGGAGAAAGAAGGACTGATGAGGAGAATCCTCGTTGACCAGGAGATACCTTATTGATAAGCTCTTCATACTTGATTCGTCATGCCGTGAAGTCATGGAGGGGAAGCCGTGTGGAGCGGAAATCATGTGGTATCGGCCAGTGAGCAGACGGCCACGGTGCGGGAATGCCCAGGGATAGACACATGTCTGAGTTTTGGTTCCTGGGCCATACTCAGCTGTGCTCAAGGATGCTCCTGGCAGTGCTGGACCATATGTGCCACAGGGGATCAAACCCGGGTTGGCTGTGGGCAAAGCAGAGGCCTTCCCTGTGCCATCTGTGGGGCCTGGGGGTGGCCCCCAATGGGCATCTGCGAAGACCTGTTACCCTTGGCGAGTAACAAGTAGTGCTTGGGAGGAGGGTCACTTAGTCAGGGCCGGTGCTGGTCCCCAGTGCCCTTATCTCGGAGATGGATGGGGAGGCGGGCCTGGCGCTGAGGCTTCTTCCTGTCCCTGCCCAGGTGCTGCCATGGTGCTGGCCGTGGAGGACAGCACGGTGCGAGTGGTGGTGCGGGTGCGGCCGCCCACCCCGCGGGAGCTGGAGAGCCAGCGGCGGCCCGCGGTCCAGGTGGTGGACGAGCGCATGCTAGTGTTCGACCCTGAGGAGCCCGACGGGGGTTTCCTGGGCCTCAAGTGGGGCGGCTCCCACGAGGGTCCCAAGAAGAAGGGCAGGGACCTGCCGTTCGTGTTCGACCGGGTGTTCGGTGAGGCAGCCAGCCAGCAGGACGTGTTCCAGCACACCACCCACGGCCTGCTCGACTGCTTCCTGCAGGGCTTCAACTGCTCAGGTGAGCGCTGCCCAACCCCGCCCTGCCCCTGCCCCCTCTGTCTGCTCTGCACTTTTGGTTTGGGGGGGTGGAGTGGACGGGGGGTCACACCCAACCCTACTCAGGGCTTACTCCTGGCTCTGCACACAGGAATCACTCCTGGGGGTGCTCGGGGGACCGTATGGGGTACAGGGGGAACCAACCGGGGTTGGCAGTGTACAAGCACCCTGCCCACTGTACCACCTCTCCATCCCCTGCTTGGCACTTTTGTGGGGTGCTCTGGCCCTTGTGTTCCCCACCTGGGTCCCAGGGTCTGATTGCCAGCAGGTAACTGGTTCTGGCCCCTCAAAGTGAGAGTGGATGGGGGAACAGCCTTAAAGCAGAGTTCCCCCAACAAATGCGGGCTTGAGCCCCCAGAATTGAGGCGGGGGCCTTCAACCGAAGCACCTGTCATCTGCAGAAGTTTCCCGGGGCAGGGGTCTGCCCCACCCGGAGGAGATGCTCCCGTGCCTTCCAAGTTGCCACCCTGAGCGGGGTCAGGAGCCAGGCGCAGAGTGGACGGGGCTGGGGCGGGGACCCTGAGTCTGGACACCAGGCCCTTCTGCCACCTGCGTCCTCCTGTGTCCTCTGCAGTGTTTGCCTATGGGGCCACTGGGGCTGGGAAGACACACACCATGCTGGGCAGGGAGGGGGACCCTGGCATCATGTACCTGACCACCATGGAGCTGTACCGGCGCCTCGAAGCCCACCAGGAGGAAAAGCAGTTTGAGGTGCTCATCAGCTACCAGGAGGTAGGGCCTGTCCCACTCCCACCCTCCCCCACCCAGGATGCCCACTTCTTCCTCTCACCACCGGGAGGGCTGATGGGGACAGGCTGGGGTCCCGTGAGGGGCTTCCCGGGCTCTTCCCATTCGAGGGATCCTGGCCCCTGGGCCCGGGGCCGCCCCTAGGTCCCCCCACCCAGCCCTTCTGCCTCCTTTCTCCCTAGGTGTACAACGAGCAGATCCATGACCTCCTGGAACCCAAGGGGCCGCTGGCCATCCGGGAGGACCCTGACAAGGGCGTGGTGGTGCAAGGACTTTCCTTCCACCAGGTCCAGGGGGAGTTGGGGGTGGGGGCGGGAGCTATTGGTCCTGTTTTCAGGGCGCACAATCCCATCAGGGGTCTCATGGTGCCCTTTCCCCGCTACAGCCAACCTCAGCAGAGCAGCTGTTGGAAATGCTGACCCGGGGGAACCGGAACCGCACGCAGCACCCCACTGATGCCAACGCCGTCTCCTCTCGCTCCCACGCCATCTTCCAGGTGAGGGGAGGGGCTGCGGGGCCACAGGGGAGCCGCGGGGGAGGGGAGGGTGGGGAGCACCCAGAGGCCCAGCCCCTGCCTCAACCACGTCTTCTGCCCCCAGATCTTTGTGAAGCAGCAGGACCGGGTGCCCGGCCTGACCCAGGCCCTGCGCGTGGCAAAGATGAGCCTGGTGGACTTGGCAGGCTCGGAACGGGCATCCAGCACCCATGCCAAGGGCGAGCGGCTGCGGGAGGGCGCCAACATCAACCGCTCCCTGCTGGCCCTGGTCAACGTGCTCAACGCCCTGGCTGATGCCAAGGTGCGGCCGGCTCACCCGGGCCCACCCAGGGAGGCTCCGGGTGACCTGCCATGGGCGTCCCCTGCTGACAGGCCTGCTCGCACCTTTAGGGCCGCAAGTCGCATGTGCCCTACCGCGACAGCAAGCTCACGCGCCTGTTGAAGGACTCGCTGGGCGGCAACTGCCGCACCGTGATGGTTGCGGCCGTCAGCCCCTCCAGCCTCTCCCTCGAGGACACCTACAACACCCTCAAGTATGCCAGCCGTGCCAAGGAGATCAAGCTCTCGGTGTGTGTCCCCCCAGAGGCCATGGGGCCTGCAGGGCAGGGGCGGGGACCGGCTGGGTGCGGGGCATTCGCCCAGGTGAGAAGCCTTGTGGCCTCTGGCCCCTGGGAACATTCTGGAAGATGGAAATCTCATCTTCGGGCTAGGCATCTGTGAGCCGCCCTGCAGTCTCTGGCGAGGGTCTGATCTCAGCCCGAGGGAGACCGAGGAAGAGTCTCAGAACCAGTCATCACATGCAGCCATGGTCCTTTTTGTTTTTATTTAATTTATTTATTAATTTTGATTTTGGCCGTGCTCAGGGGCTACCTGAGTGATTACCTTTACTCCTAGGGGTGTTCAGGGGACCAGATGGGATGCCCAGGATCCAACCCAGTTTGGCAGCTTGTGAGGCAAACGCCTTCCCGACTGGACTATCGCTCTGGTCCCAGCTGTGATCCTTTTTAGATTGTGCAATGCTCAGGTTTGACCCCTGGCACTGTCTGGCACTCTACCCAGCACCCATGGGGCCAGGCATCAGACCATCTGGCCCGTTTGGCCAAGTGCCAACAGGCATGGCCCCTGGGCTTCCTGAGCAGTGCTGGGCGCCTCCCCCCATAAAGAAAGCCCAGGGGGACAGGGCCGAGGGCTGGAGTGCAGACTCTGCCTTCTGCCTCCTGCGCCCAGTGTCCCATCCTCAGCCCTGCAGGAAGAAGCTCCCAAGCACCTATACCAGGAATATACCCCCCCACCCCCAATCACAGTCAGCGCGGCCTCCAAGCAAACCAGCAAAGACTTGTGCCTGACTTGTGCCTGACAGCTGGACCCTGTTTCTAGAATTCCCCACCCCCATAGGTACACCTCATCAAAGCAGTCACCCACCTCCCCTCGCCTCGGGGGGCCCTGGTGCCCCCATTACTGCTGCAAAGCTTCCAACCGGGGAGGGAGGTGTCACGGTCAGGGGGTCCGAGGTCCAGGTCGTGGCTCCCTCTGTCTGTCTCTGCTCCGGGCCCAGCGGCTGCCTCCGGCTGTTTCTCTGACCTCCAAGGCCAGTCAGGAACCCATGAGGCAGGCGTGAGGCATGGACTGGCTGTTCCCGGGCGTGGCTCTGACCCGTTTCTCCCCCAGCTGAAGAGCAACGTGGTCAGCCTGGACTGCCACTTCAGCCAGTATGCCACCATCTGCCAGCAGCTGCAGGCTGAGGTGAGGGCTGGGTGTGCCCGGGACCCGGCTCGGGGCAGGAGCACTGGGGGGTGAGCAGGGCCCCTGAAGCACTGGGCTGCTTCCATTCCAGGTGGCGACCCTGCGGGAGAAGCTGCGTGTGTATGAGGCCCGGGGTCCGGCCCCCCAGCCAGTGCTTCCACTCTCACCCAAAATGGACCCTCCGCAGCGCCCGTGAGTCCCACCTTCCTGCCTGGCCTGCCTGGGCTCCCCCAGGGTTAGGATGCCTCGCTTCTATCTGGACACACTGGGGCGGGGGGTGGGGGCCGCCTATCCCCTCGCAGCGGGAAGACTGTGCAAGAGTCGATTGGCACCCAGGTCCTGTTGGCAGTGTCTGCTGTGCCCGGAACCAGGGACACACACACCCCCCTGTCCCCTGCCACCACCCACTCTGGGGACATCCCTGCCAGGGCCCTCCTTTCCAGCCTGCCTCGCAAACCCCATGTCTCCTTGGCCCTCCCCAGCAACCCCTCACCATCCCACTCTCCCAGTGGGCCCGGCACCCCACAGCCCCACCCAGGACCAGTTCTCCCAGTGGAGAGCCAGGCCATGGAGGCCCAGGAAGAGGGGGGCATGGAGGCGAAGGCTGCGGAGAGAGCTGAGGAAGATGAGGAGAAGGAGAAGGAGGAGGAGGAGGAGGAGGAAGAGGAGGAGGTAGGACCGGAGTGAGTCTGTGGGGTGTGGGGAGAAAGGCCCCGCCCAGCCAGGAGAGCCCTTAGGGTTCACACTGAGTCCCTCAGCTCCAGACACCACCCCTGGGAGGGGAGTGGGTGTGGGCTTCATGGAGGGGGGCCCCAGCTTCTCCCGAGGAGGAGGCGTGGTGGGGGGCGATGTGCCCGGAGGAAGGAAGGCCAGGGGGCCCCTGGTGACTCCCCATCTCTTAGGCTTCAGCCCAGGGGCTAGAGCAAACCTTCACCTTCCCACGAACCCAGTCCCCTGCCCTGCCGCTGCCGTCCCAGCCTCCCGCGGACCACCCGTCCTCGCCACCACTGGGCAGAGACCCAGCCAAACAGTAGGTGCCTTTGTGCTCTTCACTGGGGCCCAGGGTGGGTCTGATGGCTTTGGGGCGCCTGGAAGGGGGACATTTCCCCCAAGTGCTCTGGTTCTACATGATGCAAGAGGCCAGTCTTTGGGGAGCCCCCACCCCACGCCCCTGAAAAAAAAGGGGGGGGGAGGTATCTCATTTCATGCATGTTGTCCCTCCACTTTCTCCGACTTGACATTCTCTCCAGCTGTTCCCCTGTCACTGTCTAGTTATCCCTTAGGGTAGCTGGCCCTGAGCTGGGGGGAAGCAGAGCCCCCCCACACCCCAGAGGCCTCAAAGACAGCTGGCAAGCATGGTGTGGGGCAGGGCTGTGAGCAGGAGGGGGCTGACAGTCCAGAGAACCAGAGAAGTTGGGGGGCAGGCAGGGGAGGAGCCAGCCCTCCCGAGTCAGGACCTGCCACGTCTTCATCATCCCCTGACTGGATCTCTCTTCTCTAAAGCAAGTTTAACTCGGCCCCCGCCTCCCCCACCCCAGGCCCCCGGCCCGCCAGCGCCTCTGTGTGCGGGCAAGGCATCTCCCGCCTTGGCCCCTAGCACATAAATCCCCTGCCACTTAGCTTTGCGGCTGCCAGCCCTCCGCTGCCCTCCCCAGCACGCTCCTCGCCAGGCAGTGTATTTAAAGCTTCCGGCCAGAAGGGCCTGTTTAATTTTATTTCTTGTTGGGGAGTGTCTGTTCCCGACTCAGCAAAAATGCTGCAGCCTGAATAATCAGCAGCTCATTATCTGTCTCCCGCTGCCGGCTTCCCGGGGCGCTGGAGGGACCCAGGGGTGCCCTGGTGGAATGTCCCCTGCCAGCCCTGCCCCGCCCCAAACAATCCTGGGGCTCTATTGATGACTCAGGGTCTCCGCCTGGTGTCCCCCGTTGCGTGGAGAGGGGGTGCGGGGGTGTCCCTGGTTCAGTGTCTCCAACACATCACTTCAATCTTGGCTGTGATTCCCAGATCACAGCCCTGATTCTCAATACTCCTTAGAGCCCAGGTGCTAATAAAATGGGACAGAAGGCTCCGCGAGTGAGGGGTGGCTGAATATTCTGGATCAAGCCCATGCTCGGAGTAACACCCTAACCACCAGATAACTGAAAACCGTTTCTCACTGACTTTCGAATTTAGAATCTGAGACCGCCAGGGCACTGAGTAAATCTTAGATTTTCCAGTTCAAGGGTTTTTCTGATTATTATTTTTTTCCCTCCCCCTTTGGCTGCCAAGTCTCTTCAAATGAAATCTGCTGAAGTCTAATATGTAGAACAGCTCCAATAGGGCCGTTCTGGCCAACATGTCCTCTGACGGGTGTCTTGAAACCTCATTTAGAAGCTCCTGCTAGAGACAAATGCTAGAGGGTACCAAAGCATCTGTCTGGGGCCACCTAGTGGGAGGGGCAGCCCCAGACTGGCCGCCCCCAGCTGCCACCCCCCCCCCCCCCAGCACTCTCCTCCTGGTGCAGAAACCCAGGCGGGCAGGGTGGGCACAGGCAAATGGGGAACAAGTTCTCTCCTGCCCCTTTCCGCCACCGTCCTGCCTCCTTGCAGCCCCCAGGCCACTGGCTGGAATGAATTTGGCTTTCCTGAGCCCCCCAGGGCCAAGGGAGGGGCGCAGCCGTCTAGGCAGGAGCTTCTGCATGAGGGGAAATGAATAATCCCCACCGAGATAATTGCCTTCACCCTCTCATCGAAGGTGTGCCTTACAGAAATAAACTTTGCTTTATTAGAATCTAATTTTACAACATCGGTAATCCCATTACCCCCATAATTTCCTTGCTAACGCCCCCGGAGGCACACACAGACTCGCCCACTCAGTGGAAAGCGCATCCCAGGTTCTTGTCTGGGACGCTTGGGGCCGATGGAACCACAGGGCTGATTTCTGCCTTCTCTGTTCTCACCGGTAGCTGTCCAGCTCACAGGAACCTGAGTCCGAGTGAGCTCAGCGGAGGGCTGGCCCGATGGCACTTCCTGTGTCTGTCTACAACAACCCTGCCCCAGCTACCTTCCAAGGCAGGACCCCTCTGCCCCATTCCATCTCCCCATTCTGAGGAGGTGGAAACTGAGACTAAGCTCCAGGAGAACCCCAGATCACAGCGGGAGTCTGACTTGGAGCCTGGCTCTTGGGGATTTTGAGGGGCGACTCTGTGCTCAGGGCTTAGGAGTAATCCCCACCAAGGATTACCATGGCCGTTCTGGGGATCAAAGTGACCCCATCCACATGCATGGCATGGGCCTTAGCCTTTGTGTCCAGCTGTTTGGGCCTGGCTCTTGGAAGTCGCTTGCCTTATCCCTCTGGTGGATGCTCTCGCTCCAGAGCTGGACCCCTGAGACACAGGCCAGGTTCAGAGAGACGCGAGCCTTCTGCGTCTGCGGCCACTCAGCAGCACCCCGTCCCTACTTCCCGGGTGCCAAGGGCGGTGAGGGACATCGTCCGGGGGCAGGGCAGAAGAGAGCCAGGCCATGGCCCCTGAGTGCCCTCCTGGCTCTGAGCACTGGACATGGGGCAAGGGAGGACATTCCCTGAGTCTAGGGATCCCCTCTCCCCCCGGCCCTAAGTACCAGGCATGGTGCAGGGTGGAGCACCCACTGAGTCCGGGTCCCCTGCCTGCCCTCTCTCCTAGGCTGGCCCTCCGGGTACTACGTCTGGCCCAGCGGCAGTTCTCCCTGCTCCAGGCGGCCAACCTCCTGACCCCTGACATGGTGGCCGAATTTGAGACCCTACAGCGGCTGGTACAAGAGGACCCAGGGCTCCCGGAGGCCTCTGGGAAGCTTGGGCCAGCCGGAGGGTCCTCTCTGGCCCCGGAGCTGAGCCAGGACACCAGTGAGTGTCTGAGTGTCCCCACCTCTGTGGCTGGTGTGGGTGGTCCTGGGGCTCCCCCTCCCCCGCTATATGGGTGCCTGCCCGTCTCTGCCGAGGCCCCCCTGTGCTCTCCACTCAGACCCCCTCCTCTGTGCTCAGAGCCATCAGGATACTCCGGCCCTGTGACCCGCACCATGGCCAAGCAGCTGGCGCTAGAGGTCCCACCTGGCCCCCACCACAACCCAGGCCAGAGCCCCCCACAGCCCGTGGAGAAGAAAAGGAGGAGGGGGCCAAGCCTCGTGGAGGCCGAGAGCTCCCCCGGCCCGGAGCAGGGCCTCAAGCGGCAGCGCCAGTCCTTCCTGCCCTGCCTGCGGAGGGGGTCCTTGCCAGAGGCGCCACCCCCCTCAGGCTCCCCGGCCCCCCAGGGGGGACAGGCCTCCTCCCCCTGCTGCTCCCCCCGTGTCTGCCCAGCCACCGTCATCAAGAGCCGGGTACCCCTGGGCCCCTCCGCTCTGCAGAACTGCTCCACCCCGCTGGTGCCGCCTGCCCGGGATCTCAACGCCACCTTCGACCTCTCCGACGAGCCGCCCTCCGGACTGGGCTTCCCCATCTGCCAGGACCCGTCCTTCATCCGCAGGTGGGTCTCCCTCCCAGCCGTCCCAGGGCAGGGGCCGAGGGGAGGACACCCCAGCTCTTGGAGCCAGGCTCTGCCGTCTCTCCTGCTGGTTGGGTCAGCCTCGTTCCCCTGGCCCAGGAGGCAAAATCCAGCTTCCACGCAGACGCCCTGGCCTCAGTGGTGCCCTCAGTAGCCGGCAGGACCCCAGCCCAGGGCATCCATCCTCTGCAACCCTGGGACAAACTGCCAGTCTCATGAGAAATGCCCATTTCTGCCACTGCCACCCCCAAATTTTTACCCTCTACCCCAGAATTTGTGACTAGGAAAAAGTTCCCCACTCAAAAAAAAAAAAAAAGCCCTTTTTCAGGGAGAAGCTGAGCTCTTGCCCCCACCTTCAGCCCCAGTATTGGGGAGGGAACTCGCCTGGGGTTAGGGCAGCTCAGGTTCCAGAGAATAAGGGAGGACAAGGGAGGAAGCCCCAGGACCCCTCACTGAGCACTGGGAGCTGGGCAGTGAAGGCGTGGAGCAGTCTGCACATGTCAGAAACACATGTGCACATCCTCCGGGAGCTTGTTGTCCCTCGGCCATCAGGAACCTCCTCCAGAGAAGGAAACCTCAGGTCCTCCCTGGCCCAAGCAAGGGCCTGCTGCCCACTGACCTGTCCCCTCCCCTCCCCAGCGGCCCCTTGCCCGTGTTCACCATGAGGGGACCCAAGCCTACGACTTCCTTTCCTGGGACTTCAGCCCGCAAGAAGAGGCGGATTGTGAAGTGAGTTTGGGAAAGTGAAAATGAGGATCTTACATCTCTGCGCCCCTCGGTGTCAGGGTTGGGGGACCCTGGGCTGGAATGATAGCACAGCAGATAAGGTGCTTGCCTTATGCACGACTGACCCAGGTTCCATCCCCGGCACCCCATAGGGTCCCCCGAGCACCGCCAGGAGTGATTCCTGAGTGCAGAGCCAGGAGTAACCCCTGAGTATCACTGGGTGTGACCCCAAAACAAAAAGACAAAAAAGAAGTTGGGGGGTTGCGTCTTGCATCTGCCTCTCTGCCTGGATGCTTGTGATCCAGGATCAGACTGAAGGGAAGGGGGGGGGCTTCCATATTAAAGGTCACTGGCCTCTCTTGGGAGGGAGGGGTTTAGGGCTCACCTCACCTCACTCCAGCCCCCTCAGCACTGCTGCCCTGCTGCCTCCTGCTGGGGTCCCTCCCGTGGTTCCAGCCCAGCCGCCTGCCCCATGACGTCCCTCCCCTTCCACAGCGCCTCAGTCTCCCGCTCCCTGGGGGTCGCCCGGCGCCACAGCCGCATCGCCCGTCTCCCCAGCAGCACCTTGAAGAAGCCACTGGACCTTTTGCTGCCCCAGGTGACTGCCCCTGGGCCAGGGACGGTCTGGATCACCAGGGAAGACGGGAGGAGCGGGGGAGACCCGGGGCGGGGGTGTCCGGGTGCTTCCCAGCCTGATCTCAGGGGCAAGTGAGAGGTGGGAGATGGCGGAGCGGGGGGCAGAGTCTCACTCTCTCCTTCCTCCCCGCTTCCTCCTTCAAACTGGCCAGCCCAGCCCCACTGCTGTCCCCGCGGCCCCCAGAGGACCCAGGAGGAACTGAGGGGGCCTGGGTGCCCAGCCGGCCACCGGGAGCCACATCTCCAGGGTGCCCTGAGGGCTGCACCCTCAGCTAGTCGCCCCTTCTACTTCTCACTCGGAGCCTGTGGCGTCTCTTCCCGCCTCTTCGTCAGCCCCCTCCCGGCCATTCCTCTGCTTCTCCCTGCCCGCCGGACCCCCAGCCCACTCCTCCGCCTGTGTATACGCTTGTGAGGGCTCATATGTGGCTACTTCACACCAGCCCCCAACCCCACCCCAAGCAGGCAAGTGGCTTCAGGGATTTTGTTTCCTGCCCCGCCCAAGCCCCAGACTAACAGCTCTGCAGCCCTGGGTGGGGGGCGGTGGGGAGTCCCCATTTGGCTCTTCCTGGTTCCTGAGAAAGGAGCAGCTTTGGCTCTTCCGGGACACAAGCTTCACATGCAGGGGCCCAGGGTTCGCATCCTGGCACCACCGCAGAAGCAGAGCCAGGAGGAGCCCCTGAGCACAGCAGGATGTGGCCCAAAAACAAACAAAAAAGAGGCCTGGAGAGTGGGTAAGGGGCTTGTCTTGCAGGCAGCAGACCCAGGTTTAATCCCCAGCACCCCATATAGTCCCTCGAGCTCCACCGGGAGTGATCCCTGAGCACCCTCAAAAAAAGAAAGGAAAGGAAACACCTCTTCTGCAAGGGTGGGCTGAACCCAGGCTCCCACAGTGCAGGGCAAACCCTGCTGCCCACTACAGCCCTGCCCCTGTGTGGGCAGGGGGGAGGGAGCCTGGAAGCCCCACGCTCCAGGCCTACTCTGTGCTCAGGAGTGTCCCCTGGCCTTGAGGGGGACCACATGTGGCATCTCCACCTTACCCCTGGACTTTCCAGCCTCCGTCAGCCTGCTGTCACTGTTTATAAGCAGGGTTCTCCATGTATATACAAAAGGGAATTTAAAAAAAGGGAATTTCCTCCCTAATGCTAGCTCCTAGCTATAAGCGCTGTTAACACCTTTTTTTCCTGCTATACGCATAGCTACATATCTATGCATGTAGATCGAGAAATATATATTTTTTTCATTCTAACGATGAATAAACCCTGTCCGACCTGGTGTCTATGTCTGCACGTCTAGTCAGGGTAGCAGCACCTCCCACTTCAGGAAACATTTTTTGCAGGGGAGGGGGCACACCTGGTTGTGCTCAGGGCTTACTCCTCGCTCTGCACTCAGGGATCACTCCTGGTAGTGCTGAGGGGACCATATGGGGTGCCAGGAATCATACCCGGGTGGGCCACATGCAAGGCAAGAGCCCTACCCATTGTACTACCACTCTGGCCCTCACCAGGAAACTTCTGAGCCCAGCCAGCATTTCCTTCCTCCCCAGCGGCCTCTGCCCACCCTAGGGGGGCCTTTGGGGAGAATGCCTTAGCGGTTCCCAGTTCCTAGGTAAGGCTGCAGTGCCAACCAACCATCCCGGACCCAGTGCCATCCTCAGCTGGGCTCTAGAGCCCCCTCCATCCCGTCCCCACTCTGCACTTGGGGGCTCCACCTTCGAGTGAGCACTGTCCTGCGTGAGGTGCCCCCAGCACCATCAAACACAAAACAAAATAAAATCCACAAACCCGTATTTCCCTCACGGGGACCGTGGCAATTTGTCCCAGGCACCCCCTTCTCTCTCCGGAAGACGAGGCTGACTAAATGAATTAATCATGCAAATAAAATTACAGAAGTCTGTTTAACTTGCTTCTGAAAACAAACATATTAAAGGTATTTAGCACATCGCCAGGTTTATGTCAACAATGTCCCTAATTTCAAATGAAGCCTCACTGTGGGTTTTTTTTGGGGGGAGCAGTGGGGGTATCTTCCCTCTACCTGGCCCCTCTACCTGGCCGGGTAGCAGACAGGACACCAGGACCAGCACTGACTTAGTGACCCTCCTGGGCAGCAGGACGTGGCTGGGAGCCGGCACCTGGGACCCTAGTCAGTGCCCCACCCCCCACCACCACCACCCCCGGCTTCCACCACATTGCTTCCCTTTAAAGGGAACAGGCATCTTGGTTCTGAGCAGGCGTTCTTGGTTTCGTGCAGGGGACCCTCCTCTCCAATTAGCCTTAATGAGGTGGTTTCCCCGGGCCCTGGGAATACCCTTGCAAAAGCCCTCCCCACCTCACCTCTGCACCCCCCCCCCAGCATGGTGCCCTGGCCTCTGAGGCCTCCTGGGTGTGTTGGAACTGGGTAGCCCCCCTTTCCTGGGGCCCACCCCTATGTCATCACTTTAATCAGCTTGGCTGTGGGTTCAGAGGCAGCAGGCAGGGTCACGGGCAGGCCAAGGAGGGCGGGAGGGCGGGCAAAGTGGCCGTGGAAGGGGCCCTCCTGGCGCAGGGGTGACGGCAGCCGGCTGTCAGCTCAGCAAACATTGGTGGCTCCATGGGGCGACCCCGACATGGACCATGACCTCGGGTGAGCTGAGCACCTGCAGGGCTCCGGCCCCCCACCACACGGGTCAGGCCGGAGTGTCACCACACGCTGTCTGGCTGTGACCCCGGCTTAGCAGGGAGGAGGCAAGGGCGGAGGGCCCTGCTGACCTCAGCCCGCCAGGGGCAGGTGGCAGGGGTGGCACCGTGCTTCCAGAAAAAGCCAGAGGATTCTGGAGCTCTCCCGGCCTGTACACGGTCACTCTGAGGCTGTGCTCTGCTCTCTGTGCTGGCTTCTGGAAGCCTGGAGGTACTGTCCCTGTTACCCCGGCTCACCAGAGTCCCCCCAGCTGGAGGAGAAACTCAGAGAACCAGGTTCGGAGCCGGGAGCTGGGTGCCGTCATACAGAGTGAGGACACCTGCCCTGCCATCAAATCCAAACGTCAGCAGTGTGTTCAAGGGGGGGGACCGGGCTTGCTCCTCTGGGCCTCCCCACACCCCACTAAGGGACCGAGTCCCCGCCACACTCCCCAGCAGCCCCTGGGCCCTGCCTCTCTTTCCCCCCGGGTCCCCCAGGAGTGTGCTGCCCCCTTGACGTGTGGGTGATCCTGCTTCCCAGACAGCTGTCTCTTGCTGCACGGTTTGAAGCGAAGAGAGACCCAGGAGGGTCTGGAGGGAGGGCGAGGCATCACCCCAGGGCCTGCTGATGAGTGTTAGCACATATGGGAAGGGGTGGGACCCCACTCCCACCCGCCATGCCACACTGCACCCAGAGGTGGCGTGGCCACACCTTAAGTTCTGCACTGACTTTGTGCTTCCAGTTCTTGGGAAGCCGGGACTGAGATCATCACTTTCGCAGTGGTGGAAATGGAGACGGACCTTTCTGGAAGTTGTCTGAGATTGCAATGCTGGGCCGGAGCAATAGTACAGAGGGTAGGGTGGTGGCTTTGCATGCAGCCAACCCAGGTTCTATCCCCGGCATCCCATATGGTCCCCTAAGCCCTGAGCATTGCTGGTTTGGGCCCCAAAAACGAAAAAAAAGATTGCAATGCTGTGAGCAGACATGGTCTAACTCTCTCCCAAGAGCAGCCAGCGCAGAGACAACCCCAGGAATAATGAGGTGGCAGCAGCTGGGTTTTAGGAAGCTTCCTGGAAGCACCGGACATTTCCCTCTCGCCCTGGAAGCTGGGCACCTGGGCAGCTGAGCACTGCCACCTAGTGGCCTCTCGGCTGGGCCATGGAGCTGCTGAAGGACGCAGGTGAACGCTGCCTGTGTTCCCCTGAACCCACCTTCCTCTGCTGGGACAGAGGAGAGTCAGCGGGATGCAGCCCAGTGGCGGCCAGGGACTTGAACAAGAGGCTGGTCAACGCGGAAAGGGCAAGGTACCTTGCCTACAGGTTGAAGTCTGGGCGTGGTGCTGGTGCTCCCAAGAGGCCCGTGGGCTTAGGGCAGGAGTGTGTTCTGGCAGGGGTCAAGGAGGCCAGCTTGGGACCCCCTCAGTTGCAGGCAAGACGAGGCTGACCTGAGAGGCCTGCTGCAGAGGGCCTGGGCCCCGCTCTCTGATTAGCTCTTAGCTCTTGGTCCTGGAGTCAGGCTGCGGACCTGCCCGGGACCTCCTTAGCTGGGGATGCAGCAGGAGCTGGAGGCCAGGAGCGTGTCAGTCTGCTGGCCAGGTGTGAATTGGAGAGAGAAGAGGAAGAAGAGAGGGGCCGGAGCCATAGTACACTGGGTAGGGTGTTTGCCTTGCACTCAGCTGACCCGAGTTCAATCCCCGGCATCCCATATGGTCTCCCAAGCACTGCCAAGAATAATTCCTGAGTGCAGAGCCAGGAGTAACCCCTGAGCATCGCTGGGTGTGACACAAAAAGAAAAAAAAAAGAGGAAGAAAAGAGAGAGAGAAAGAGAACAAAGAATGTAAGTAAGCAGCCTTAAGGCTTGGCTAAATTAACCCATAGAGTGGAAAACCACTCAACTGTGAAAATGATGATTTAGATAAATATTTATTGATATGGAAAGATGTTCCCAACATATTGTCAAGCAGGGAGGCGGGGAAAAGCAAATTACAAAATAATTTGTACAGCAGAAGCCCACTTGAAAAAAAAAAAAAGATTTATGTGTGTAGAAAAAAATCTGGTCGTGTTCATCTCCAGGTGGCAGAGTTATGGCTGATTAGATAGCTTTGTTTTGCTTCTCTGTATGAGCACTAAAAAATCGTGGAAGTTCCTTTCACCATGTGCAGACCTCTCCGGTACTCTGGGCGACCTTCCTGGGACAGTTAAGGGCCAGTTTGGGGAGGCTCTGAGGGGCAGGGGGAGCCTAGGCCTAGGTGGGGGTCCCAGAAGGGGCCAAGGGGTACAGGCTGCAGCCTCCACCTGTCATTGGAAATTAGATCAGGCCCCTCCTCCCATCCAGTTCCTGCTCACTCCGCTGATGGCATTTGGAGGTGAGGAGGCAGAGGAGGGGGCAGGGCCCTGGGCCTCTCTCCGGGAGTGCCCCCTCCCACAGCAGGACAAGTCACAGGCGCCACTTCCCCCCCCAGTATTCTGCTCAACCCGGAGTCAGATGTGGCTGATGATTAAGGACTGTCCCCTCCTCTGTGCTGGACGCCAGGCAGTGCATAGTGGGCCCAAAGTGAGAGGCCTTTACCCAGGATGGGTGCAGAGCCCAGGGCACAGGGCACTGCCCGGACAGGAGAGTGGGGTACAGGGTGCTGCCCGGACAGGAGAATGGGGTGCAGAGCACTTCCCAGAAGGGGCCTGGGGTTTGGCTGGCTCTGAGAATGGAGAGCATCAGGCCTTGACTGCAAAGCTAAAGACTGGCATGGATGGGCTGGCCAGGCCAGGCCTTCCCTCATGCCCACTCAGTGACTCACCTTTGGCACACACACAATGGCTGGGGTGGGCACAGGGCCTGCCCCCTCAGATGTTTTCCGAGAAGCCTTTTGAGTTGGGGTCCTGGACTGTACCCCGCCTAATAGCCTGACATCTTGGGGTGAAAAATAGCTCAGGATGAGGGAGTGCGTCTCGGGGGCAGGAGAACAAGGCCACATTCAGGAGGCCTGGGCAGAGGGATCCAGGCCCCAGCAGGCTGGACGGAGGACGGGGAGTGGGGGCTCCCCACAAGCCCGAGGACACAGTGATTGAGGGGTCCGAGTGAGGCCAGAGCAGAAGGGCTGGATGCTTCTGGAACCTCAAGGTCACAGGATCCCAGCCCCGGGCTCTCAACCACCCCCAGCCCCGTCGCCATGGCCTTTCTGCTGTGCGGGAACTCAGAGGAGATAAATCTCGGGGTGAGAGCGCCGTAAGGGCAACCGGGGAAACGGGGTGTCACAGCAACACAGATGGGCGCCAGGGCTGCCACCCATTCATAACGCTTTGTGGCACTGTCATGGCCTGGGCTCTGGGAGGGGCTCAGGAGGGGAAGCCCGGGGGTGGGGAGTGGGGCTGGTGATCACAAGGGGCCCAGGCAGAGGTCTGGTGCTTCCCGCCCACATTCCTCCACCAGACAGAAGCCTGGTGGGATCCAGGCCCGCAGGGCTGGGTGCTTTAAGAAGTCAGGGCCAGGGACAGAGGACAGCAGGAGGGGGGGTTGTGCTCCCTTTTCAGAAAAGAAAAAAATAAATCAGTATCCCCCATCCTTCCCCCACCCACCCAATCTTTTTAATTTCCTTTTGTTGTCATTGGACCACAGCCCTGGCTGGGGGTGCTCAGGGCTTACTCCTGACTTCCTCAGAGATCACCCTTTTTTGTTTTGTTTTGTTCTGGGTTTTTTTGCTTTTTGGGGTCACACCGGGTAATGTTCAGGGGTTACTTCTGCCTCTGCACTCAGGAATTACTCCTGGAGGTGCCCAGGGGACCATATGGGATGCTGGGGATCAGAGCTAAGTGCGTGTAAGGCAAATGCTCTCCCCGCTGTACTATCGCTTCCACCCTCTCAGGGATCACTCTTGGTGGTGCTGGGGATTGAACCAGGATCAGCCTCAGTCAAGACAAGTGCCCTCCCCACTGTCCTCTCTCCCCGGCCCTGACTTTTCCTTAAAGCAACCAGACAGTGTTCCCCAGTTGCATCCAAAGCAACTGCACCTCTGGGGTGTTCTAGCACCCCCTCCCAGAGCCTTTAGCGCCCACTTTGGAAAAAACTGAGCCAACAGGTGGGGCCAGCTCCAGGCAGGAGTCAGGGGCTGGGGAGAGAATAGGAGGTCCAGACCTGTCTTCAGAGGGGAGCGCTCAGCATCTTGGGGATGGGACTCAGTTGGAAGTTGGCCACAGGTAGTTCCTTGGGCCATGAGAAATGCTTCTCTTGGTCCATCCCAGCGATCTGGAAGGCTCTAGAATGATGAGTGCAACCAAACGAGCAAAGGGCCATGTTGGTTGTAAGAGTTGGAGGACAGGTGGGATACCGAATGTGGCCTGATCTGGACCACACTTGGAGCAGGGCCCTGGGCCCCGTCTCTGACCCTGTATGCTACCCCCAGCACCTCCTTCTTTGCCAGGCCTGGGACATCCTGTCTCTAGGAGTCTAGGGCCAGTCTGAGAAGCACTCTCCTCTCACTGGGAATGGCCAAGAGCCACCCCTTCGGTTCTGCCAGGGCGTTGCCAGGGGCAGCCTGGGTGATGCCAGGCTGGCCCTCATAAAGAGCTCACACCCCACCCCAGCAGGGAGCAGCGCTGGGCAGGGATGGAGAGGAGACGGGTCACCTCCGTTGCTCGCCGCTCCTTCGGCTCTTCTGTCTCCCCTTCGGAGATGGCTCTGGGGGGCCTGCACCCCAGGCGGCACCCGGGGCCCAGCACCCGCCTCTCCCCGGTTCGGATGCCGCCTCCGCTCCCAGCCCGAGTGGATTTCTCCCTGGCTGGGGCACTCAATGCCGGCTTCAAGGAGACGCGGGCCAGCGAGCGGGCCGAGATGATGGAGCTCAATGACCGCTTTGCCAGCTACATCGAGAAGGTGCGCTTCCTCGAGCAGCAGAACAAGGCGCTGGTTGTCCAGCTGAACCAGCTGCGGGCCACCGAGCCCACCAAGCTGGCTGACGTCTACCAGGCAGAGCTGCGGGAGCTGCGGCTGCAGCTGGACCAACTCAGTGCCCACAGTGCCCGGCTGGAGGTGGAGAGGGACAACCTGGCACAGGACCTGGGTACCCTGAGACAGAAGTGAGGAGCAAGTGCGGGGGGACAGACTCGGCTCCTATGGGGGAGGGCCTGCATACCAGAGGGTCTGGGGTGGTGGTTATGGCTGTGCCCCCTGACCCCACGGCGAGCTGTCCCTGTCCCCCCAACCCCACGGTGAGCTGGCCCTATCCCCCTGAACCCACAGAGAGCTGTCCTTGTCCCCCGAGATAACAGCAGGGACCAGTATCCATGCATTTCATCGGCTGCGGGACCTGGGCACTGGGCAGGTTACTCACTGTGTTGGATAATGAGGAGAACCAGGGAGAAGGGCAGAGCAAGGAAGGGGTAGGCGGGAAGAGAGGGCAGCCTGCTTCGAGCATGGGTGGGCGGCTGCAATATTAATGAAGCCCATAAGGTCGAGGTGCACCCCCGGGGTGCAGTGCCTTGAAGCGGGCAGCATGGAGGGTACTCATGTGTGCCTGTGTGTGAGCAATGGAGAGAGCAGGTCGGGGACCGGGGGGAGGTCGCTTAGGGGGTGTGTGCACACGCAGAGGCACTCAGATTGGGGGGGCTGTGCACTCAGCAACCACCCCCCCACCAACAAGGAACCTTAGCAGGGAGCTGCAGCAAAGTGTCCTTCAACTCACGACCCCTCTGAGCTGCCTCCTGCAACTCCCCTGACCCCAGTTAGGGCTGTTTCTCAGCCACTTCCAGGGAAACTGAGTCAGGGATCCAAGAGTTGTCAGAAGAACCTGGACCCAGGAATGTGTCCTCCTACCCCAGGCTCCAAGATGAAACCAACCTGAGGCTGGAGGCTGAGAACAACCTGGCGGCCTATCGACAGGTCAGGGGGTCCTAGGTGGGGGAGGATGGGGGGCTGCAGCCCAGTCACACTCAGTTCCTGCAAGCCCAGCAGCCCCCTCCAGGACCCAGCACTGCTCCCTCCAGCCCCTAGGAGAGGGTCAAGCAAAGCTGGGAGTGGAGGAGGCATTTGGGGTCACAGTAGACCCCTGCTCCCCCTGCTCAGGAGGCAGACGAAGCCACACTGGCCCGGCTGGACCTGGAGCGGAAACTGGAGTCTCTTGAGGAGGAGATGCGGTTCCTGAAGAAGATTCATGAGGAGGTGAGACGCGGACAGAGGCTGGAACTGAGCAAGAGGGAGGCTGCGGTGCTCAGAGAGGGAGAGGTGGGGGAGCAGAGACTGAGAGGGAGACAGACAAGAGCGCACACCCCTCTCCTGTAAAACGGACAGATGCACACTTCCTCTGGCTGAGAATCAGGGGTGGGGGGATGGTTGCCAGGCTACATCCCACTGACTCTGACCTCAGATTCTGGATTTGCAGAATTCCTGCAGGGACAGTCCCCCCTCCTCAATCAGTGTTCCTGCCTGCCCAGGCTGGGGGAGGAGAGTGCGACTCCCCTAACCATCCCCTGCTCCCCTCCCCTGACCCAGGCCATTTCTTCCATTTCCCCTAACCAATACCTGTGCCTGAGGGCAGGCAGGAGAGAGGAGGCACTGTGTGTGGGCACTGATCCCTGCGACCCTTGTTCTATCCTGGCCAGGAAGTGCGGGAGCTCCAGGAGCAGTTGGAGCGGCAGAAGGTGCCTGTGGAGCTGGATGTGGTCAAGCCAGACCTCACGGCAGCCCTGAGAGACATCCGCATGCAGTATGAGGCAGTGGCGTCCAGCAACATGCACGAGGCAGAGGAGTGGTATAGGTCCAAGGTAGCCATAATGACATGCCAGTCTGCCTCTTCCAGGCAGCCCTCCTGGGTCTAGACAAAAGCACCCAGGAAGGAGCGGGGAGGAAGCTGGAAAAGGACTTTCTCTGGGAATTGACCTTCACCAGAGAAGTAGGTGGGCCGATTTGCTCAGGCATTATATCTTTCAATAAGCACTTACTATTCTAGCTGTTTCTATTCTTATCATTAGCCTCCATGATTGTGTGTCAGGCCTCGTGCTTTGCATGGCTTATTTCACTAAGGTCTGCAGAGGCTAACTAATTTACCCAAAGTCACACAGCTCCTAAGTGGTAAAGCTGGATTTCCCACCCAGTGAGTGCTTCCTGCTTGGAGAACTGCAGCTTCTTTCCCTGCCCTGGGATGATGCCAATAGGGTCAGGGTTCTGCGAGTGTCCTGGCAGCCACACCGGCCTCCTCCGGATGTCCCTGACTTTCCAGAGGCCGCATCTTTTCAGGGGGCCCAGGGGTTCCACGAGTGTCCGGGTGCAGTGGCAACCCGCCCTCTGCTTAGGGCTGTCTTTTCACCCAGTTTGCAGACCTGACCGATGCTGCCGCCCGCAACGCTGAGCTGCTCCGCCAGGCCAAGCAGGAGGCCAATGAGTATCGGCGCCAGCTGCAAGTCGCCACTTGCGACCTGGAGTCCTTGCGTGGCTTGGTGCGAGGTTGGGGGTGTTGGGAGAGCGGGGTGGGTAGGGCCTGGGCGTGCAGAGCCTGCAGCAGAGAAGCCGGCGCGGAAGCTGCGGGGGTGGGGCTTGGTATTGGGGCGGGGCCTAAATAGAGGCGGGCTTTAGGGCAGGGCCTGAGTGTAGGAGTGGTTTGTTTGGGGCTGGGCCTGGAGGGGGCGTGACTTGCTCTGAAATTGGTCTGGTTAGGGGCGGAGTTTTTAAGGGGCGGGGCCCTCAGAGGGGCGTGGTTTGCTCTGGAATTGGCCCTGGTTGGGGGCGGTGTTTGATAGGGGCGGGGCCTGAGAATGGGCGTATTTTTACCCTGGGGTGTGTTGTTGGGGCGGGGCTTAATTGGGGGCGGGGCTCTGGGAAGCGAGCAGGGCGGAGTGCAAGGCTTGAGACCACATGGGCGGTCGAAAGTTAGGGGGCTGCGCATCCGTACCCTGACCGACCGACAGGCTCCCCGACCCCCTCTAGAATGAGTCCCTGGAGAGGCAGATGCGGGAGCTGGAAGAGCGCCACGCTCGGGAAGCGGCCAGTTACCAGGAGGCACTGACCCGGCTGGAGGAGGAGGGGCAGAACCTTAAGGACCAGATGGCCCGCCACCTGCAGGAGTACCAGGACCTGCTCAACGTCAAGCTGGCCCTGGACATGGAGATCGCCACCTACAGGAAGCTGCTGGAGGGCGAGGAGAACCGGTAAGCCCTCACGCAGCTCTACTTGAGTGTTGAGGATCTCTTTTTCCCTTCTGGGGGCTGCCTCTTATTCGGTCTCTTCCCAGACACCCTCCTACCCCAGAGCCCACCCGCAGGCAGTGGTACCCAGTAAATCTTTGCTGATGACCGGACTAAATCCAGCCAATGCTGACTAGGTTCTGGAATCAAAGACTTGGGCTAAGTTTGTCCTTCTCCCCTTCTTAGGTTGGACGGGGTTCCCCCAGTTGGGCCTCTCCTGCCTCCTTCTCGCTCTCTGCCCTCCAATGGTGGAGGCTGCCCAAACCGCCCGCAGGTGTCTGTGTGTGTGTGGGGGGGGGGGGGGGACTGGGAGTGACTGGACCTTCCCAGCAAAGACAGGGCCTCTTGGCTGTCATACAAAGTCTCGTGTGGGGTGTCCTCGGGCAGCTGATCACCCCTGCCTCTTGGCTGTCTTTCAGCATCACCGTTCCTGTGCAAACCTTCTCCAACCTGCAGATCCGAGGTCAGTGGTGCAAGGCCTTGTGGGAAGGGTCTTGAATTCCTGTGTCCCCTGCCCCAGACCTGGATGGAGCTTCTACCACCACCCAGGGGTGTTCCGGGTGGGGTGCGGAGTTGCTCCGGTCCTTTGCCCCCGGCCCCTGCCCCTGCCCCATCATACTGCCCCTTCTGCGGGAGATGAGGCTGAGAATCTCAGCTTCAGTCCTCGCCAGTGATCCCTGAGTAGCTTCTGCCCAACTGAGTGTTTCATGTGTTTGTTTTGTGTTTTAATTGCTTGTCACTACAGGGGGCAAAAGCACCCACGAAGGGGAAAGCCACAAGGTCACGAGACATCTCAAAAGCTTCACAGTACAAGTCATACCCGTGCAGCCAGGAGCCCCAGCGGCTCTCGGTTAGCTGCCTGCCTTGCAAACACAGGCTTTTCGCAGGATTCCCCCACCCACCGAACTCATGTCCCCATCCTTCTGGGTTCTCTCCTCCCTGTTCCCCTTGGGGCCAACCCTGGATGATCTCAGCTACCCCCGAGTGGGCGAGGACCTGGCTCCCCCTGGAAACCTGAGTGAAACTGACAGAGCTCTAGGCTTCAAGGCGGTGTCACAACTACTCTGATGAGATGCACTGGGACCTCCCAGGGAGGAGGTCCTCTCTGGGAGGACGCTGTGGGGTTCCCAGAGTTGGGGACCCAGTCTTTGCCTGATTGTATCTGTCCCCAAGGCCTCTTTGCTTGGCTCAATGCCCGTCAGCACAGAGGACTCATTCCCCCAGGGACAGCTGCTCTTGCAGTGAATAAAGCTTTATGTGCCCCGCTCTTAATTGTAAATATTAATGAATGTGACATGTTATAATTTTCTCTCAGAGTAGGAGGGATGCTAAATTACTTTTTACTTGCATGTGGCCTTCGAGTGATTGTTAATTAAGGAAAACCAGTTCTTCGGGACCAGAACATTTTGGTTCACAGTAATGCCTGAGCTCAGCTCAGCATCTGAAGGGTTAAGAAGGCAGTGCAGGGGCCAGAGTGGTAGTGCAGGCAGGGCATCTGCCTTGTATTCAGCCGACCCGAGTCTGATCCTGGGCATCCCATGTGGTCTTCTGAGCCCACCAGGAATAATTCCTGAGTGCAGAGCTAGGATAACCACCGAGCAGGCCGAGTGTGGCAAAAACAAACAAACCAAAGTAAGGAGGCAACACAGGTAGAGGTCATACCTTCAAGTGCACTCAAGGGTCACAAGAGCCCTGGAAGTGGCAGAGAGAAATAGGAAGCAGGAAAGGAACCACAAGAGCGCCCTTCCCAGCTGCACTTGTAGCTCACCACGCATTAGAGCTTTGGCCAGCTTCTCTGCCACCTCTAGTGGGGCGGACACTCACAATTCCATAGTCTGGAAGAAGTCACGTAACTGGCTCAGTGTCCCGGGGGAGGGGCAGAAGGACCACTAAAGCTCTGGCCTGCCTGATTCAAAGCCCATATGCTCTTGGCACTGGGCGGGGCTGCCAGAAAGCCAGGTGCCAGGGGAGGGATTGAAGAGGGCAAGTAGCTGGCCTTGGAGGGCCGTCCTTGGCACCTGTGGAAGGACAGGCTTTGGACTCATGACCTGAAGGTGGAATAGGGAAGCTGGGGCTAGGGCAGATGCCGAGTACCCCAAGCCCATGGCTGGTCTCCTTCCTCGTGTCTGTAGAAACCAGCCTGGACACGAAGGCCATGTCGGAGGGTCACCTCAAGAAGAACATTGTGGTGAAGACTGTGGAAATGCGAGATGGAGAGGTGAGAAGGTCAGGGCAGAGATTCTGGGCCCAGAGCCTGGAAGAAGGCCTTCAGTAACTCACAAGGACCCCTGCCCCCTGGTGGAGGGGGCACAGCCTGGCTCTGACTCAACAACCCAGCTCCTCCCTGGGAGTCCACAGGGATACCTTGTGTCCAGCTCACTGGATGTGATCACCCCTGTCTCACTTTCTGATTCTGTGTCCCCTACCAGGGGCTGGTGGGGAGGGAAAGTTCAAGCAATCACTTTCCTTCCCAGCTTCCAGGAAGCTGTCAGTGAAATGGGACGAGGGTTAGCGGGGTCCCAGCCCATCAATCACCTCAGCACAGTGCACAGACTCTCAGGACAGCAACTCGGCACCCCCTCCCCTCCACCTTGCCACGTGCAATGGGTTCAACCTATCTCAAAGGGAAGGGCTCCGGAAGACCAGGGACTGATGCTAGGTGACATCACTGAGCAGGGCAAGCCCAGGCTCTCTCTGAGCACCCAACTATGGCCCTGCACATGCTCTCTGTCCCCTGCAGGTCATTAAGGAGTCCACACAGGAGCGCAAGGACGTGATGTGAGCCGACGCGGCAGCAGGAGAGGCCCACAGCGGGGGACAGGCTAGCTGCTCTCCTCTGAAAGCTTGTTTTCCCTGACCTGAGAGCCCCACAGCCCACTTGTCCCATCTCTGTGCCCAAAGTCACCCACCCTACACCTAGCCACTCCAACTAACAGGGGATTCACCCTAAAGAAGTGATCTGAAGCTTGGTTAGCATTGGGAAGGAAGAGTTGGAAGGGGAAGGAGAAGCTCGAAAAATCCCCCTATATCCCACATCCCTGTTGTCATAGTAACTGTTGCCAGACCAGACATCTCTGGGGGTCTCTGAGAGCTCCCTCAGGTGGCTGGAGGAAAACAGAGGCTCAGACAGGAAGTGGGAGGCAAGGGAGTCTTGGCCAAGGTGGATGTTTCCAGATTCACCCTCAGACCACAGGCTTGCAGATACCTGTGGTTCTCAGCCCTGCTTGGCTGGGGGCTGCTGCGGTTCTCAGAAGACCCTTGCTTCTCAGCTCTTAGTGGATCAGGAGTCTAAGTGGACAGGGAAGGGGTGCTGGGATTACTGGGGATGGTGATGCCTGACCCCTACGGGGGTACTGAATGTCCCTGGGAGGGCTCCTCCAGGAGGCAGGAGAGGGCAGGTAGAGATGGCAGCGCAGTAGGTGCCAGATGTCAGAGGGAGGTGGGGATGGGATTCAGGAAAGGAACGATCGTCTGAGGGATTCTAACAGGAAAGAAGGGGTTGCTGTGCCCAGGACAGGGCCCACTGTACCAGCCCACCCGCCCTTCTATGCTGGAGCCCCGCCCTTACCCCCCCTCTGAAGCCCCGCCCACCCAACCTGAGCCCCGCCTTTCTATGCTGGAGCTCCGCTCACCTCCCCCTGAAGCCCCGCCCTTCTATACCGGAACCCCGCCCACCCACCCAGCGTCCAGCCCTTCTATGCAAAAGCCCCATCTTCCTTGCTGGCGTCCCCTCCCACCTGGACACTGGACCCAGTACTGGTTGCCCTGGGATCCCAGCAAGTACTGTTGGGAGTGGAGGGCAGGTATCCTCAGGACGCTGCTGTCCCCAAAGCCCAGGATCCCTGTGGTCCCTTCTCACTCGGATGTAAAATAGGTCCCGGTGTTTTGGAACCTGCTCTGTTAAGAGCTGCAGACGCTTGCTTGTGTTGCTGCAGCCTGTTCCGTCACACTAAACACCTGCTCTGCTTTGCTCAGGAAGACGGGGGAGGGGCGCTGAGATCACCCATGTAGGAGACTCCTCCCTGGGCTGAGGCCAGAAGAGGAAGAGGAGGGAGTTCCCTTTTCCAAGGTTCAGGTCCTTCACCCACAGCCCATCCTAGCCCCCCACCCTTCCCCACTGCTGCCTGTAGTCACTGAGGAAAAATAAAGCCCAGCGCTGTGGCCTTGGTCTCAGAGTGGATTCTGATCTCTGCCCGGGACTGTGGGTGGGCGCCAAGCAGCCTGGGACACCACCTTACTACTTACTTGTCTGAGCTCCACGTCCACTGCCAGCCTGTGCCTCCTGTCCCCTTGCCCATGTTGCCCATCCTGGTGCAGACTCACAGGAAGCCTGGAATTTGATCTCTACTTTCCTCACCCATTTCCCATGTTCTAGAACTGAACTTTTTGTTTGGGCCACACCCCGCGGTTTTCAGGGGTTACTCCTGACTCTGCACTAAGGGATCACTCTTGATGGGGCTTAGAGAACCTGTTGTATGGGGTGCTGGGGATTGAACCTGGGTGACTGTGTGCAAGGCAAATGCCCCACCTGCCCCACCCGCCCTAGTCATGAGCTTTATTCCCAAATCTGACGTTCTACCAGTTGTCCAAAGGTGAGGCTGGGGGAGCACATGTGCTAGTCACCACTTTTCTTCCTCATCCTTGCTACTCCCTCCCCACCCCTGTCTGCCAGCCCCCACTTGATCTTCCTTTAATGTGAGAAAGCACAGCGCCTCAAATACTGCTCAACACCATGCAGGCCATTGGATAAGAACTGGTTTCACGGCTTCTTCTCTTATGTATGCGTGTTAAGTCTGGAAACACGCCAGCCCCAGGGACGGGCCTCCTGGTTGCAGACCCCCACCTCCTCTCTGACTCATTGCCCACCCACGTCCCTAATCATGTCCCTGACATGTCCATGCAAAAGAGGAGCAAGTTGTAACTCATGAGACTGGCTCCCTTGCCCTGTGTCTTGTCCAGGAGGTCCCTGGGGGCTGATCTGACAGGCACCTGGGGCACACCTCGTCTTCAGAGCTGGGGAAAAGCATCTCAGGGGGAGAAGCTGGGGCAGCAGCGAAGCAGGTAACAGCAGCAGCGACAGATGTGGATGGTGACAAAGACTACCGTGAGCAGCAGGTGGCCCATCAGGGCGAGCATTATGGCAGCGTGTGTCTCAGGGTCCGAGAGCGAGAACTGCTGGCGCCCCCGGGTGAGCACCCCCAGGCGGAACCCAGCCACGCGGACCCCCTGCCGCCAGCAATAGTAGATGCCCCGGTCAGCCAGCTCGGTGAAGCGGATGTGCAGATGGTTGCCGTGGTCGATGAACACCCGCATGGTCCTGTTGACGCCCTTCAGGTACTGCGTGCGGTAGAGAAACTGGCTGTCCTTGTCCCAGCCTACTGCGTGCTCCGGCCGTGCCCCAGGACAGGTGATAATGAGTCCGTGGCCCAATCTCTGCTGATGAAACTGAATGGGCACTGTGGGCAGCCAGGGCCGGCTGCCCACTTTGGACACGTAGCTGAAGACGGCCATGATGCCCTTCTGGACACTCTTCTTCTTGCAGGGCACCATGCAGCTGCGCACCAGCAGCTCGGGCGCCCGGGTCCTGGCCTTGGTCCGCAGCCGTGCGGGCACAGCCTGGGAGCCGCAGGACACAGTGTGGGGAAGCGTCTGCCGGTAGCGGGGGGATACGTCTGGGCTCTGCAGGTAGCAAAGGCCGATGCGCCACTGCTCCCCGCGTGCCCCACAGCGGTCACAGGGCGTCCACTCCCAAAAGGTGGTGAAGATGTGCAGTGTCCCGTAGTGGCTGTCGGCAGAAGGCACCTGGCCGTGGTCCTGGAAGGTGGCCACCATCCCCTGGCTGCTCTGGATATCCACGTCATAGGCGTAGAAGTAGTCCCCCTTGCGGGTGCCGCAGAAATACAGGCCCGAGTCCTCAGGCTGGGCCCGAAACACCAGCAGACTGAACATGCGGATGCTGAAACGGACCAGCATGTCACTGCCCGCACGCACGTGGGCCTCCTCTGTCAGCAGCCGCCCATCGAAGTCCGTCAGCACTCTGGTGTGGCTGCTTCTCAGGTGCTTTTGATAGTACCAGACCACGGCCTTCACCTCCTCGGGCTTACAGTGGCAGGGAAGCTCAAAGCTCATGTCAGCCAGGTAGGCGGCATTGTCGAACATCAGGAACGCTGGGCAAGGGGTGCTCTGAAAAATGTTTTCCTTCCCCACGAGCTCAAAAGCGTGGAGACTTCCCCAGGCCCACAGGAGCACCATGAAGCAAGCCAAGTTCATGCCCAGGTTCAGGCTAGGTCAGAGTTGGTAAAGATCTTAAAGGCCTCTGGGGGCTTCTAGAATTTGCCAAAGGCAACTGCCCTAGGAACAGACGAAGGCGTCAGGAGAAGCCACGCTCCGTGGAGGAAGAGGCCAGAGGCCTGGTCATTTATTCTCAGCTCATGAGGAGGTTGCCCACCCAAGGTTTCAGATGGGATCAAACACATTCTAGAACCCTTCACCCTCCCCTTTCTAGAACACTGGCACCACCCAAGAATGCGCTGGGGGACAGTGGAAAGAAAGGGAGGCAAGGGCCCAGTTGCCCTAAGTCGCTTTCCTGCCCTAGGTCTGGCTCGATCCAGAGAGGGTTTCCCTCTGGCTGACCTGGAAGAGTCCAGACACATACCTCGGAGGCTGAGCACATCTGAGCCGAGGCCTTGGGGCTTTCTAAGGCCAATCTGCACAGGAGCTCAGCCTCTGCTGAAAATACTGCACAGCAAATAAGGTAGCACTCCGTCCTTTGTCAATTACATGCACGGTGACAAAGACTTACAAATCACCATGGGATCTGCTTACCATGGAAGAGCAATCATTGTGCCTTTTCAGTTCTTCCAAAGTGGAGGCTGTAACAGATACAGCCAGCATTTGGCTGTACACCTCTCTCAGGGCCGTGAGCTACAGGCTTAGTGAGCTCTTAAGGGTGGAAAGCAAAACTTTTGACTTGGGCCCTTGTCTGTCATGTGGACCGGCACAGTTGTTCGCCCCCTTCCATACACACACACACACACACACACACACACACACACACACACACACACTTTATTTAAACACTGTGTTTTGCGTGATGTGCCAAACACAGTAACAAGTGTCACAATGTTAGTGGGCCGGCTCGAGCAAATCGATGAACAACGGGAGGACCGTGACCATGACCGTGTGGTTTGCAAAATTGTTCATGATGATTTGTTACAGGCATTCAATATTCCAACCCCATCACCATTGTCACCTTCCCTCCACCACTGTCTCCATTTTCCCAACCACCCCTCAAGCCTGCCCCCCAAAAGGGCCACAATAATTTTTTATATTGCTTGTTACTAATAAATTGCTAACAAATGATCAAAAACATTTTCTTAGAAGAAAATCCATGAAAACTGTTGCATCTCATCAGGGGGACATTAAGTCCTTGTTTGAGGGATTACTAAGATATTGTTACAAGTTAAGCTTCCTGTGTGTTTTTGTTTATCAAGAGATTGGTTGGCTTCACATTACATCCCATCCAATCTGGTGTGATACTACTGGAATTTTCAGTGTTGTAAAGTTCTGAGTGTTGTAAAGTTTAAAAACCCAGAATTTGGGGGAAGGGCAAATAAAAAAAAAATAAAAATCCAGAATTTTGAACTGGGAAGCCCAGCTGGAGTTAAATTTTCAATTGGGTTGTATCCAAGAAATTTTTTGTGGCTAGTTGATCTCTTTCGAGAGTCATGTCTCAGTCTCTGGAACCAGGCCAGTAGGATCAGTTTACATGGCGGCAGTGGAGGTGGTTCATGCGTTCGATTGCCGGGGCTTCCCTGGCCCTGCACAGTTCTGAGCAGCAAGTGGCTAAGGGGCTGGACAAGTGGGGAAGGTTTTATTCTATTCTCTGAAAGGTTCCAGTTGAGGAAGGGATGAGGCATGCGCTCTCCACCCATCTTAACAGGATACTTCAAGGCCACACTCTAAAAACTGCCTCCTGTGACCCTTGGGGCCACTGAAGGTGGCTGGTCTTGTCAGTCCACCTGGTACAGCCCCAGCAGCTCTTGCAGGAGCCCATCTTCCTCCCAGAACCCACCAGGCTGCCCATCCTCCGGACCCCGTTCCCCCTGGCTGAGCCCCACCTCGGGGATGGCGATGCTCATGGCCTGCAGCTTCTGAAACAAGACCTGGCAACTCTGCTGCTCATCTGGGCTCAGGAGGCTGAGGTTCAGGGCGAAGCGGCCCGTGTGGGCCAAGCTGTGCAGGATCTCCAGCACCCTCGGCCTGTCTGCCGGCCTCACGTGATCTGCCAGCGCTGCCAACAGCTCCCCCAGGAGACCGAACCCCACGTCGGTGTGGAAGAGGCTGCCCAGCTTTGTGGCCCCAAGCTGCAGCAGAGCCTGGTAGCGCTCCTGGCCACTCTGCAGATGTCGCCGCCAGTCGCGGTAGAACTCTGCTGAGGTCTCAGGCTGGAAGGGTGGTTTCTCCTGGAGCAGCGGGAAGTAAAGGGAGGTCTTTTATTTTCTCTCCCAGCGGTTCCAGGACCATGAGCATGACGTGTGTCTGGGGCTTTGCGCTCAGTGCTGGTGGGGCTCACTGGGGAGACTACAGACCTCATGGACCAGTGTCAGCTGAGCAGGACCCAGGGTGGGGACTGGGAAAGGGGGCCTCAAGGACCCAGGTCATGACTTGAAATTGCCAGTTAACTAGGATTTTTTCTTTTTTTCTTTCTTCTTTTATTTATTTTGGTTGGGGGCCACTTCTGGCTGTGCTCCTGGCTCTACATTCGGGGTGGATTAGTCCTGGTGGGATCAGAAGGTTTTAGGGTTTTGTTTGGTTGTGTTTTTTTTTGGGGGGGGGGATGGAGAGCACATCCCACAGTGCTCAGGGATCACTCCTGGCTATGCACTCAGAAATCACTCCTGGCATACTCAGGGGACCATATTAGGATATTGAGGCTCGAACCTGGGTTGGCTGCATGCAAGGCAAGTGCTCTACCTGCAGTATTATCTCTCCAGCCTCTGAAGACGCCACATGGGACCCAAGGAATTGAACCCAGGTCCACCTTCTCTGCTGAACTATCTCCCTAGCCCCTGCACCAGGATTTTCTTGCTGATGGCTGTGGACACAGTCTTGCTCCATGAGGGTGAGTCAAGAGTTACTCTGAAGAGTCTGGAGGGGATGACTGTACGGAGAAGAGAGAAAGAAACTCAAAGATCTGATAGGCTGGGTCTCCAACACTGTCCAGGACCATTCTACTAGATACCATATTACAGGAAAGGGAAACATCCCAAATATAATCTCAGTGCAAGTGGAATGACTGGCTGCAGACCTGCCCAGTTCAGCTTCCAGACATGTACTTAGTTTCACCACAAACTGGCTTTTCTTTCTGGGGGACTGGCCTCACTGAAGAAATAAGAAAAAGGGGTATGTTATAAAAAGGCAGGACCAGGGCTGGAATGATAGCATAGTGGGTAAGTCGTTTGCCTTGCTCATGGCTGACCCGGGTTCGATTCCCAGCATCCCAAAGGTCCCCTGAGCACTGCCAGGAGTAATTCCTAAGTGAAAAGCCAGGAGTAACCCCTGTGCATCACCGGGTATGGCCCAAAAAGAAAAAAAAAGGCAGGACCAGAGGTGTAAGGTAGAGGACCCTGTGGGACCAAAAGGGAAGGACTTACCTGGGAGAAATTAGTGGTCTCCTCCTGGGGGGCTCTTTCCAGAGTACAGTGGCAATTCCAGGGCGCAGTATTCCTCCCTCCAATTTTGTCCTTTCTCTCCAGTGGCTTCAAATGTGAAGCAAGGACAATGCCCCTGTGAGCCATAGACACGAGATTGGGGGATAGACTTAACGCTGCCTGAGGGCATAGGGAGCTGCACTTTGCACAATATAGACAGACTCTGTTGTCAAGCCACTATGACAACAATAACAACAGCAACAATGACAGCAATAGCAACAATAGCTAATGACTTTTGAGCACTGTCCTGTGAAGCAGACATGGTCCTCAGATCTTCCATGTTATGACTATTTTAATTATGATGGCAATTAATATTTTTTTGTTTATTTTGAGGCTATACCCAGCAATGCTCAAGACCTCTTGGATCTGGAATCACTCAGGAATTACTCCTGGTGATGCTCAGGGAACTATACAGGATGCCATGGATTGAACCCGGGTTGGCTGAGTGCAAGGCAAGCGCCTTACCTGCTGCAATCTTTTTTACAGATGAGGAATATAGGCTCAGACATATAAAAAAAAGCCTGTACAAAATCAGACAAGTAACAGAGGGGATGATGAGACTAAGCCCTGAATGGTATGGATTCAGAACCCATGTTTTGGAGGCAGAAGAGACAGTTCAAGGATCTAAAATGTATGTTTTGAATGCAAGAGGCCCTGGCTTGGTTCCCGACACCACAGTTTCCTGGGCGCTTTTGGGAGACACCCCTGAACAGTGATCCAGGAGTAGCCCTTGAGAACCACTGGGGCTCAGAAAGAAAAATACAAAGAAACCCACCATGGTCTTATTCACTATAATGTACCAATGCAGAAAGTTCTTAGAAAAAGGGGCATTAAGCTACCTGAATTCTTCATAGGAAGCCACCCTCTGTTCTACTGCTCGAAACTTGGCTGCATTCTCCCTTTTGTATTTCTCATCAGCATCAAGTGCAGCCTGCAGCTCTCTTTCCAAAGCCTTGAAGTCAATGATGGAATTCTTTTGCATGGTCTATGCCTGACAAAGCAAAGGAAATGGACAGCAATATCAGGATGGAGAGGAAGGAGTGCCCATTTGGATTCTTTGAAACCCACAGAATGACCCAAAAGCACTATTTTTGCTAGCTTGGTTTGGGGGCACACCGATGTGAAGTGCACAGTCCTGCCTCTGGACTCAGGGATAATATGAGGTGATAGGGATTGAACCCAGATCATTGGTAAAGGTCCTTCGCACTGTGCTATCTCTCCACCTCTCTCACCACACCTCCCCCCAAAGCTCTCTCGAGATTCTTATCATTTGTCCTGGATATTACAAAACCCACTTCTCTGCTTTACATAGGGAAGCTGAGTTGCACAATGAAGATATGTTTGAGCCTTATCCCTGAAAACTGAATAGTGTGTCCTGACTTTCAGATTAGAGTCTGGCCTTAATTTTGTTGTCCAAAAGTATTTTAAGTTCGATGCTTTGGCTGTAGAGCATTTCGATCGCAGAATTCAATTCCTTCACTCTTCCACTTGGGCACACTCTATAGAATAGTTGTAATAAAGGATCTTACACAAAAGCAGAACTATTGTTACCGATTCCCAGTCCAGGGACACAATTTCACCCTTCATTAAATGTCTTTAATGGGGAACGATGCTTTCCAGTCAAGCCACAAGCAGTGACTGCGCAGGAGATCAAGCAGAAAAGGCAGAGAAGGGGACTTAGTGAACCCTGCCCTGCAAATCCTTTTATTTCAACCCATCTCTGGAGCACAGGTCCTTAGGGATACCCAACCCCATGTCCCTCTGTTCAGCAGAGGACTGGAGCATAGGCCCTTGGCACATGGGCAATCTCGTTATTTCTGCTACTGCAGTTCTGCAAATCTCCCCGTTATTTAGGGTTCATTGACTCGCTCCTCAGTGAAATCACCGACAGACACTAGTCTTGGCCCTGGCCCTGATTTATTTTCTGTGATGCTTTGAAAACTCAGACTGGGGGCCGAGGGCGTTTGCCTTGCACGCGGTCGACCCGGGTTTGATCCCCAGCATCCCATATGGTCTTTCAAGCACTGCCAGGAGTAATTCCTGAGTACAGAACCAGGAGCAATCCTGAGCATCGCTGGGTGTGACCCAAAAAGGAAAAAAAAAAAGCAAAAGAAAGAAAGAAAAAGAAAACTCAGACTGGGCTAGGGGAACAAGGCGGACTGAGAAGCGTCCTGTCCCGTTTTGAGGCGCCCCCCACTTTGAATAAATAGAACGAACTCTTCCCTCTCCGAAAACGGATCCACCTAACCTTCACCCCAGCAGCTTGGTTCTCTTGCTTTCTTGGGGGATCCCCTAAAACGCGAGAAAAAGACGCTCAGAGAAGACCACGCCCAACAGCGGTGGTTGCCCAGCGACCGCAGCAACAGCCTAGTCACATGACCAGGGCGAAGGCCCCCTTCCCACACCAATCTCGCTTCCCAAGCTGCCCCAAAGCGCCTGATTAAAAAAAATTTTTTTGCCTCCTTAGGGTGCAAATTCTCTTTGGCGCAGGGCACGCTCTGGTTTGGTGGTGGTCAGCTCTGCCGTGTCGCTGTCTGCGTCTGCGGCGGCTTTCCTCCGGCCGGACCTCAGGCACCGCTCTCAGGCACAGCGGCGGCGGCGCGGGTGGGGTCTTTCCTGGCGGCGGGCGCAGGCGGCGCGGCGGCGCGGGGCGGAAACGCGCGCGCCTGAGAGCGGCGCGGAGCTTGGGTCGAGCCGGCTGGAGGTGAGCGGGCGCGGGCCAACGACCCGGCAGGGCCGCTGGGAGGGTGGCGGCGGGGACGTGAGGGCGGGTCGGGTCTGGAAGGCGCCTTCTGTGCTGTGTGCCCTTTCCCATTGCGGGTGGCGGGCTTCCGGCGGGGATGGGGGGAGTCAGGGAAGGCGCCCTTCCCCCCACACGCACGCGCACCTTGGCTCCGGGGGGTCTCCCTCGGTGCAGTGCTCCCGGGTGGGCGGGAAGGGCGGCATGGCGCCCTCGGCCCCTCTCCCGGACACCGTCTTCCCCGCCCTTCCCAGCGCCCTCCTGGTGCCGCATCTCTCGGCGGAGGTGCGGGGGGTGGGGGGGGCGGGTCCTGCACGTGAGCGGGAAGCGGCGGGCTGTCCGCCACGGTAGGCGACTGGGCGAGGATGAGGACCCCCTTCCCTGCCTCCTCGGGGTCCTTGGCTTCCGCAAGTGCTTCGCGAGACCCGGTAGTTTTGCATCTGCTGCAGAGTGAGCAAAATGTATAAGGGGCCGGGACTGCGGGGAAAGCACTTGACTTTCACAGCACCGCCGACCCCGGGTTTTGTCTCTAGCACCACGTATGGCCCTCTGAGCACAGCCAGGTGTGGTCCAAAAACCAAAACTCAAACCCAAACAGAACCAAAGTCCTCAAGTTGTAACTGGGGGAGCGGGACGGTGGGGCACACGGCACAGGACTCGGTAACGTCAGACAACAACAAATGTTATTAAGAACGGCGAAGCAGCAGACGAGCGATGGGGAGGAGGCTTGCTCAGAGGGCCAGGGAGGTTTGTAGGGAATGGGATGCTTCAGTCGAGTTTAGGCGGGAAGGTGCGGGCATAAAAACAGAAAGGAAGAGAGTTTCCAGAGAAGACGGTCTGTGCGGTAGCCTCCAAGCAGGAAGGAGCTTGGCTTGTACCGTGAAGCGCTTGGAAAACAAATTACTGTTTTGCACCGTGGAAGGTGGACTCGAAGAAACACTCCGGCACTTTGCTAATAATTATTGAGCCGGGAACTGTTAAATTATTTTTTTTTTCCGTGCTGTGGTTGGAGCCTCTAGCATCCCCTAGTTCTGTCACTGGGCACCATCCCTGTCCAATGATAATTGGCAGGTAGGGGGTCGGCTGTGGAAGGGTGTGGCCCAAAACCAAAAGCACCATTTGGGGTAGGGGAGGAAGGAGGCAGTTCTGGGAATTGAACCTAACTTTGCACTTAGAAGGCAAATGCTCTTCCCCCACCCAATGATAAGTTCTTTTTGTTGTTGTTTTTCCCCAATGCTCAGCAAGAAGTACCTTGCTCTGTACTCAGGAATCACCTGGCAGACCTTGGGAGACCGTGTGGCAAACAGGGGTTGTGTGCGAAGCAGGCACCCTACCTCTGGACTGTCCAGCCCTTTTCTTTTTAAGAGGGGTGGCACATCTGACTATGCCCAGCAATTACCCAGGGTCTGTACTCAGTGATCACTCCTAGTGGGTTCAGGGAACCATATGGGGTGCTGGGGATTGAACCTGGATTGGCCAAGTGCAAGGCAAGTGTACCCGCTGTACCCTCTCTTTGGCCCCCCACAATGATAATTCTTTGCACAAACAATTTTTTTTTAATTTGTATGACACTTTATGCAGTGGCAATTATTTCTTCTCATTTTACAATTGAGGGAACATGTTTGGAGAGATAAATCACTTACCTGACCTGTTTATTTGGAAATGTGAATCACATGGTTTTGGGGCCCCTGGCTGAGCCTAGGGGACCTCGTGGTGCCCAAAGCTGGGCTACATGACTAGTACTGTGAGCTCTCTCCCTGCTCCCCTGAATTTATATAATTACTAAGTGCCAGCATTAGAATTCAAGTGCGATCCTTCCAGCTCCAGAACCCTAACCCTTTACCATGGCTGCAGAGCTGTTAGTCTGGGTAATTGGTATCATTATCTTCCATTCAAGTTTGAATCCAAACTTGCAAAGAAAGGTGCAAAAGGCTATATATAGCTGTGTGGGGGAGTGAGAAACTGAGACTCTAGGAAAGTGGGAAGGGAAGACTTTGAGTAGAATTATAATTGGGGAAAGCCTACAGCTTATTAATTACCAGGAGAAAGCAAATAACTTGACAGTGGAAAAGCCTGCTCCATATCATCAATCTCCCCGGTGGCAGACACTGAGATCAGGGACCACCGAAGACGGGGTGCAATGGAAAGTACCTCAGCTATCCCTTCTGCAGTTTTCCTGTCAGGAATGTGGACTCTGAATCTAACCATGATGAAACAGCAGACAGACCCAGATTCAGGGACATTCTCTCACCTTTTTTGGTCTGTAGTCTTCAAAAATGTCAGCATGGGACCAGAGACGCAGCTCGGTGGGTAGAGCACAGACCTTGCATGTGCGAGGCCCTAACTTTGGTTTCTGGCACTGCTGGGTATGACCCTGGCCCCTGAGCATCACGGTAACAAGCACCCAGAAGTTTCAAAAAAAAGTGTCAGGTCATCCACGTCAGGAGGGACTGAGCAGCTATTCTGGATGGCAAGAGGCCACAGACATAAGCACTAACCATAAACCCGGACCCTGGGTGAGTCTTTCGCTGTGCCACACACAGCGGGACTGTTTGTGGACTTGGACACAATATTTGAATTAAATGGTGTGATGCTGATCTGCTTTCTTGGTTTTTTGTTTGGCTTTTATTTATTTTTTTATTTTTTGGGGGGTGGGGGGGGATAACTGGTGGTGCTCAGGGATCACTCCTGGTCATGCTCAGGGAACTATATGGGGTGCTGGGAATGGAACCCAGGTCAGCTGTGCGCAAGGCAAGCACCCTGCCCACTATACTCTCTCTCCAGACCTCCTTTTTTTTCCCCCTTTTTGGGTTATAACCAGCGGTGCTCAGGGATTACTCCTGGCTCTACACTAAAGAATTACTCCTGCCGCTACTCAGGGGACCATATGGGTTGCCAGAAATTGAGCCTGGGTCAGCCACGTGCAAGGCAAACACCCTCCTGGCTTGTACTATTGCTCCATCCCCCCCCGAAGTGCTTTTGATGTTTGTATTGTGGTTGTGTGGGACAGTGTCCTTGTTTGCAAGGATCATACATGCTAAAACAGGAGCTGACACATTTTTTCTCTTAAGGACCAGACAATAAATATTTTGGGCTTTTTGAGCCATATGGTCTCAATTGCAACTCATCAGCTCTGCCATGGCAGCCTGACTGTATAAATAAATGAATATGGCTGTGGGCCAGTCCAGCTGTTCGTGAATACTGAAATTCAAATTCCTTATCATTTTTATGTATCATAAAATCCAATTCTTCGGATGTGTTCGTCCCAACTGTTCAAAAATGGAAGCGGCACTCTTGGCTTAGGGGCTGCTTGAAGCAGGCGGGCAGGCTGGCTTTGGCTACAGGCCATCGTTTATTAATGCCTGCGGAGCCATTAGCGGGTGGTGAGTAACTCTGTCAGCAACTTATTCTCATACAGTTTAGGAGGAAGAAAGTTATTTATACTGTTCCTGCAACTCTCTGCTATTAAGTTTTGAAAATAGTTTTGTGGGGCTGGTTGGAGAGATAGTTCAGGGATAAGGCATGTGGTCTTGCACATGGCCAACTTGTGTTTGATCCCTGGCACCGCATACGGCCCCTGAGCCCTACCAGGAATGATCCATGAGCACAGAGCCAAGAGCACTGCCAGCTGTGGTCCTCAGGGGTTTTAGTATTAAAAAGAAGTGAGGACTGGTGCTGTGGCTGAGTAGTAAAGCACTTTCCTTGCATGTGGTTTTTGGGTCCAGTCCCCGGCTCTGCAATAAAAGAAATGGGAGGGTTGGAGAGATAGTAGAGCGGGGAGGGCGCTTAGCTAGCATGGGATCCTGGCTGTGCACTCGGATCACTCCTGGTCATTCTCAGGGAACCACATGGGATGCTGGGCGTGGAGCCCAGGTCAGCTGTGCACAAGGCAAAGCGCCCTACTCACTGTACTATCTCTCCAGACCAGTGGGGTTCCCCAGTACCCTGTATGTTCCACCATATGAGCGTCAAACTGGAGTAAGCCCTAAGCACCATCGGGTATGGCCCCCAAACTAAAGAAAAAGTGGGAGAAGAGCATGAACGTAAGAACTTCAAGTTCAGCTTTGAGAGGAGGGGGCTGAAAGGACTTTGAGGCTAGTGCCACTGGAGGGGAGCACCTATGGAAGGCTTGTCCACATCAGGACTGGAGGGAGGGCCTCATCATAGTCAGAGTCTCACTTCTTTCTCCTTGAATCTTAGCATCATGGACACTGACCTGTATGATGAGTTTGGGAATTACATCGGACCAGAGCTTGATTCAGATGAAGATGATGACGAACTGGGCAGAGAAACCAAAGATCTTGACGAGGTAAAGCACATGCAATGTCCCTTGAGGGGCAGGAGGCCTGTCCCAGTGTCTCTCGACCGAGTCCCTGTGTTTCAGTGTGTGGTGCCCATGTACAGTACTGCTTGGCCTCTGCAGGGATTTCCTAGGCCACTCCACCACACTTAGGGGTCTCCGGGGGCATCCTCTGGTGATGGGGAGTGGGGGCACCATATGGCAGCAGGTTGAAACAAGGTCAGCTGCATGCAGGGTTTGCTTCAGCTGCTGTACTGTACCCCGGCTCTGCTTTATCATTTCTTCATTTTGTTTTTCAGAGTAATCAAGTGCTGAGTACTCAGTGCTCTGAGAGCACCCCATGTTATCGTCACTCTGCCTGTTGTGTATGGTGTCTGAACCATACCTGGCAGGGCTGGGGTTGCAGCTCTCAGCTCAGTGCTTGGGCATCGCTCCTGCTGGTGCCTGGGACCATGCTGTGCTGGGGATCAAACATAGTGCTCTTGCGTGTAAATCTTTTTGAGGGTCTCCTTGGGCCTATATATATATTTTATTTTCCCCCTTTTTGAGTCACACCTGGTGATGCACAGGAGTTACTCCTGGCTCTGCACTCAGGGTGCTTGGGGGACCATACGGGATGCTGGGAATTGAACCCAGGTTGGCTGCGTGCAAGGCAAATGCACAACCCGCTGTGCTATCACTTGAGCCCCTAGCATATTTTTTATTCATAATTCAGGAATGTGATCTGAACATAGAAAGGCCATCCTTGGTCATCATCCTGTTTTACTTCCCTTCACAAGGCAACCACCATAGCACATTCTGACCCCATAGAAAGAGTTGGAATTGGGTCAAAGCACAATTAGAAGAAGGCGCAGCTGAGATCACTGAGACCAGGGTGAAGGGGAGCAGGTTAAGCCAGGGCTCTTAGACCAGGCCCCTGGCACCATATTAGGTGAATCCTTTTAAGCCCTTTAATCTGTGGTTTGGGTGAAGATGAATAAGGGAGGAGTACAAAATTTGCATGTGGCCTAAGCTGGTATGTTAGATGATAGACTCTGAATAAACTGGAGTTTTGGGCTGAATAAAGGCCAAGACAGCCAGGGATGTGACTTGTTGGTAAAATATATGCGTCTTGTGCTTGAAATTTGAGTTTAGCCACTAGCACCAGACCTGCATCTGCTCACATGCACACTCAGTAATTTATTCAATAAGAATTTCTGTAGAGGGGGCCAGAGAGATAGTACAGCTGATAGAGGGTTTGCCTTGGCATGAGGTCAACCTGGAATCGGTCCCCAGGATCCCATGTGGCCCCCCAAGCACCACCAGAGGAGTGATTCCTGAGTGCAGAGCCAAGAGCGACCCCTTAGCATCCCCAGGTGTAACCCAGAAACAAATCAAAAGAATTGAAAGTTTTCTGAAGCACTTAAGATTTGCATGGAATTGTGAAGTAGAGAACAGGGGCATGCTTCCTGCTGTTCTAGGACCTGCTGTTTACCAGCTGAAGTGAAATATAAAAATAGGGGACCAGGGATGGAGCATGCCTGGTGCGCGTGAGCCATACGGCTGAAGCACATGCAGGGCCTTGCTCTGGCTCATGGATGGTCAGTCCCTGGACAGGTCAGTGCAGCTCTCTTATGTCCCTTCCCTCCTGCTTCTATTTTAGATGGATGACGATGAGGAGGATGAGGATGTCGGCGATCACGACGACGACCACCCAGGCATGGAGGTGGTGCTGCATGAGGACAAGAAATACTACCCCACAGCGGAGGAGGTGTACGGGCCCGAGGTGGAGACCATAGTTCAGGAGGAAGACACGCAGCCCCTGACAGGTGAGGGGGTGCCTCACCTGTGGGGGTAACACTGGGGCAGGGAAAGGCTGAGAGCAAGCTTGAGAGTCCCTGAACGTGTTCCAGTGAGTTGGTTCTCTGTTCTGCTTTGCACGTCCTATATCTGGGTTGAGAGTCAGTTCACTCATTTGTTTTGAGTGATTATTTTGACTTTTGGGCCGCATCCAGCACTGCTCAGGGGTGGTTCTTGCTGGTGCTCCAGGTACCTTGTGTCCCTTGTATGTGAGGTCTGTGCTCCAGCCCCTGGTTTTAGCACTGTTTTGTGGGTTTTATTTGGGGGTTATACCCAGTGTTCCTTAGGGGGTACTCAGGGAACTATGAGGTGCCAGGGATGGACCTGGCACTCCTGCCTGCAGTTCATGCGCTCCAGCCCTTTGAGCTGCTTTCCAGGTCTGGTTAGCTGTTTTAATGTCCAGAAAAACTCTAAAAATAAGTATTAGTAATTTGGGGCTAAGGAGGGAATTAAGGATCTTGCCTGTGGCTGACCCTTGTTTGACCCCTGACACCCCATAAGGTCCCCTGAACACCACCACACATCCCTGAGCACAGAGCCAGGAGTAAGCCCTGGGCATAGCTGCCAGGGGCAGGGGGTTATTTATCTAATTAACTATTCAAGTGTCTGAATGTTGTGTTTAATTTCTCTCCCACTCTTAGGTTTTGTCCATGCCAATAATCTAAGGTCCTGTAACTAGTTTTCACAATGCCTATTTCCACTTTAAGGATTTTTATTTATTTTATTAATGCAAGGATTTTATGAATCTTTTGTTTGCTATTGCAAGGCTGGAAGCAGAATTTAGGGCCTCACCTAAATTTAACTCTACTGCTGAGCTGCATGCCCTTCCTCAGCAAGGAGAGGTTTGAACTGATGTGGACCTCAGCCTGTATTCAGCCCTTCTCCCTTCCTCCCACAAATTGGAGTCCAGATTGCACTGTCCCCTTTCATGTCCGCCAGGGTCCTGTGCCAGACCACCGTCCCAGTCCTTGATTCATCAGCATTTGAGTGAGGTAGCGTAACCTGAACAAACCTGGAGGTGTAGTCTGCAGCAGTTGAGCTCTGTGCTTTTGCGTTTCATGCCTGCCCTTATGCGTCTCCCTCTCATTCCCCCCGCCCCCTTCCAGAACCTATTATTAAGCCGGTGAAAACCAAGAAATTCACTCTGATGGAGCAGACGTTACCTGTCACAGTGTATGAAATGGAGTAAGTTACCAAGTTTTAGCCTCAGCACTGAATCATGGGGGCTCATTTTCCATAGTGGTGGGAGGTGGTGGGAGGTGGTGGTTTATGGTTGAATTAGTAAGTTGTAAAAGCAAAAATCCCTCCCTTGCTGAATTTTTTCACTTATATGGTTATTGGGATGGTTAAAATTGATCTTAAGTTTTCTGTGGGTTCTCAGACAGATCTCACTGATGTTTCTTCTTCCAGATCTTTAGCATGAGAATCCAGGCTTTGAGAATGATCATGGGTGGGGGCAGGGAGGTGGGTACAGGTTTTTTTTTTTTTGCCTTTTTGGGTCACACCCAGCAATGCTCAGGGGTCACTCCTGGCTCTGCACTCAGGAATTACTCCTGGCGGTGCTTGGGGGACCATATGGGATGCCGGGGATCGAACCCGGGTCGGCCGCGTGCAAGGCAAACGCCCGACCCGCTGTGCTATCGCTCCAGCCCCGGTTTTTTTTTTTTTTTTTTTTTTATGTGTTAGATTGCTTAGCATGAATACTGAAGAGATAGTACATGGGTTAAATGCTTGCCTTGCTTGTAGCTGAACCACATTTGTTCCCTGCCACCGCAGATGGTTTCCCAAGTACCATGAAGACTGACCCCTGAGCACAGGGCAAGCAGGGAGCCCCGGGCACTGCTGGGTGTAGCCTCTGCCCAGTCCTAACTGCCCCAAATATGCTGCATTTTTTGGGAACATAATAACCCTTTAGTTTGAAAAGGAGGGTCCAGATGAGTAGACTCATATATAAAATAATTTGGGTTCTTCTTACTGCAATTATGTTTTTAATTTGAGGCCACAACTGGGAAAGCTCAGGGTTATTCCTGGGTCTGCACTCAGGAATTACTCCTGGTGGTACTTGAGAGACCATATGCTATGCCAGGGAATCAAACTCGGGTCAGTCTCATGTGCAAGGCAAACAACACCCTACCTGCTCTACTGACCCCTCCTTATTGTAATTATGAAAAAATTTTCATTGGGCCAAAGAGAGAGTACAGTGGATAAATCTCTTTCCTTGCATGCAGTTGACCAGGATTTGATCATAGTACAGTCCCGAGTGGTGCCATATCGTTAAGCATCTGGGCTTGGTCTCCAAACCACTGTAGCATTGTCCTCCAGTTCATCGAGCAGGCACCAGTAATGTCTCCATTGTGAGACTTGTTACTGTTTTTGACTTTTGGCATATCGAATATGTCACGGGGAGCTTGCCAGGCTTTGCCGTGTGGGCAGAACACTCCTGGTAGCTTGCTGGGGTCTCCGAGAGGGGCAGAGGAAGTCCCCAAACCAAAAAAAAAAAATTGTTTTTATTAATAAATGTACTTACAGTTAAGATGCCTATATATTGAAGTGCTTATGTCTAATTATTAAGTAATAAAATTGTGGAGTTGGTTGGGGGGGTCTATACCTGGTTGGTGGTGCTCAGGGCTCACTCCTGGTTCTGCACTCAGGAATTACACCTGATAGTGCTCAGGGGACCATGTGGGATGCTGGGGATCAAACTCTGGTCAGCCATGTGCAAGACATCCCTCTCCACGGAAACTTTGGCCAAAGTCCCTCTTCTCTTGCCTTTCAGTTTCTTGGCTGACCTGATGGATAACTCAGAGCTCATCAGAAATGTCACCCTTTGTGGGCACCTCCACCACGGCAAGGTCAGTGCACTGCTGGGTTATGGAAACAGAGCCCCTTGCGCCTGCGCATGGACGGAGGCTGGGGACTGGGCAGCTGACTGGGGACGCCTGGTTTTTCCTCAGAACAGACTGAGCCTTTGTCTAACATGCCGTCCTGAGTGCTGTGTCCACATCAGGTCAAAGGGGGAAACTGAGCTTGCCTCTATTTTTACAAGCTTTCATTTCCTGGAAGATGCTTGTCTGAGGAAGATAGGAAGATTTCATCTTTGATTTGAAAATAGTCCCGTGACTTCAGTGTTCATCCTTTGCCTCCCCATAATTCTTGCTCTCCTTCTCCTGAGCCGTGGTGCTGCTGCAGGGAGGGTCGAATCGATTTTGCCGTTCCCATTGAGTCCTGAACCTTTTCTTCCCTTGCAGACATGCTTCGTTGATTGTCTGATAGAGCAGACTCACCCAGAAATCAGGAAGCGCTACGACCAAGATGTAAGTGGGAATTCTGTCAAGGGTTTGACTTCCTCTCCTCCCTCACTCATTAGAAATCACCTAAAAGGGAAACTTATCCTTGTGATTGCTATTAATAACATTGAAGAAAATAATTTCACCTTCCCCAGGAGCATAGAGAATATTAACCTGCAGAATTTTGGACGATCAGTTCTGCACCGGGGGATTCCTCTGTATCCCAGCTTTTGGAGCAGTAATAGCCTACTCTCTAAATATAATACATTTGGACTTTGTTGTTGTATGGTAAATTTAAATGCCTGTGAATAAGGCCAAGTGTGACTGCAAATCTCAGTGCAATAATGTTCTGGCTTTCGCAGGATGGTGCTTTGACGTGCTGGTCTCCATGGAGGGCTGGTGTGGGCCCTTCACTATTCCAGGATTCCAAGCACATTTGATATAATTAGTTCTTCATCCATACTGGCCTACAGTGAATTCCCCTGCTCTTCCCGCCCACTCTCCCACCCAAAAAAAAATTCAAAACAGCCAGGAATATTCTCTCCGGGAGGGCCCTGGTCTTGTTGTCTGGAATTTTGTGGTTGCACCCCATTGTCTTCACAAAGGTGAAGTGGAAAAATGGTGGATGGCATTTGTGTTGGAAACAGGGGGCCTGAATTCAGGTGTAATGATACTTCTGTCATTCTTTCAGCTCTGCTACACTGACATCCTGTTCACAGAGCAGGAGGTAAGGGCGCCGCGGGCAGTCTGCTTCCCACACCCATCAGCCCATCAGCACTACAGCACTACTTTCAGGGAGGAGGGGAGTCCTTTTTTTTTTTTTTTTTTTTTTGCTTTGCTTTCTTTTGGGTCACACCTGGCGATGCACAGGAGTTGCTCCTGGCACAGCACTCAGGAATTACCCCTGGCAGTGACCATACGGGATGCTGGGAATCAAACCTGGGTCGGCCACGTGCAAGGCAAACGCCCTACCCGCTGTGCTGTTGCTCCAGCCCTAGTAGGGGAGCCTTTGTGATAGAACAGTCGTGCCCAGTCCTCTCTCTCCCAGGCTCAGAATCTGATACAGTCATACCTTGTTCTTTTTTTTGTTTTGTTTTTGGGGATACAGTGGTTGTACTCAGGGATTGCTCCTGGTGTATTGGGAGATCATAGGGGGTGCTTGGGATTGAAATGGGGTTGGCCTGACCATGTGCGAGGCGAGTGCTTTCCCTGCTATACTACTGCTCAGGCCCCAGCACTTTGTCCTTTTTTTTTCTTCAAGTTTCTTTTGTTGTTTACTTGGTTTTTTGGCCACACCTGGTGGTGCTCAGGGGTTGCTTCTGGCTCTACACCCAGGAATCGTGGTGGTGCTCAGGGGTGTGTGGGATGCTGGGAATCGAACCTGCATTGGCCACGTGCATTGCAAGCTCCCTATCCTGTGCTATTGCTCTGGCCCTAGCACCTTGTTATTTTCATAATAAATTTCAGTGCCTGTGAATGAGACCAAGAGTGCTCATTCTATCTCCCTGTCTCCCAGTCACCCTGTGATCTATTACTTGAACTACAGTAGTCAAGCCCCACCCCAACGCAGGTTGATTTGGCCTCTAAGGGCAGATCCTAGGAGTTGATGCCTCTTTTTATGCTCTTGGTCACAAGCCTGGTGGGAGTTTTTTTTATTTGTTTTAACTTTTTGGTTTGAGGCCCACCCCCACTGGTGCACGGTGCTTAGTCTTGGCTCTGTGTTCAGGGGTGACTGCTGGGGAGGCTCAGGGGAATCATATGTGGTGCTGAGGGTCAGACCTAGGTTGGTTGCATGCAAGGCAAATGCCCTGCCTGCTGTACTCTCACTCTTGCCCAGACCTAACTTTTGATTTATATGTCTGGAGTTCTGGGGTGTGTGTGTGTGTGTGTGTGTGTGTGTGTGTGTGTGTGTGTGTGTGTGTGTGTGTTTGCTTTTTGAGTCACACCCAGCGATGCTCAGAGGTTAGGTTACTCCTGGCAGTGCTTGGGGGATATAGGATGCCAGGGATCAAACCCAGGTCAGCCTTGTGCGAGGCAAGTGCCCTACCTGTTGCCCTACTCACTCTGGCCGTTCATGTATATATTGTATGTTACAGTTTAGAATGCCAATGATTTAAAAACAATTTTATGCTTTATGTATATCCAGTCTCCAGTTCATTTTTAAGTTAGTACTGTTTTGCCTTCAAATTGCCACCCATCTCCCCCAGTGCTATTTAGCAGCACGATATTTCATCTTTAAGTCCTTTCTGGGTAGAGACCAGGAGAGATATGAGCAGTGTGCTGGCAGCTATGCTGTGGTGAGGCCGCGGCCCTGACCTCTCTCCCTCTGTGGTTCCCAGAGGGGCGTGGGCATCAAGAGCACCCCGGTAACCGTGGTCTTGCCCGACACCAAAGGGAAGTCGTACCTCTTCAACATCATGGACACACCAGGTAGGCACATCTTGACCTTCCCCTTGTCCGATTGGTTCTTCACGCTCTGACTTTTCCTGGAACTGGGGTTTTGTCTTTGGGGTTGTTGGGTGATTTTGTTTTTGTTTTACCTTTTCCCCACCTTCGTTGAGATCCTTTTTATTCTGGTTGTCTTGGCTTCTGTCTAGTTCATTAGCAAGCTGTGTGTTCTAGACCTGGTGTTTTAATCCTCTTTTTCCTCTCAGTGTGTTTATTGAACTCTAGGGCATGTCACTCGTTTCTGCCTGGGTGAGGCCCATGCTGAGTGCTGAGGGAACAAAAGTGCATCACATCTGGTCCCTGGCATCACACTCTGGGTGATTTCATGGAGACCTTGGGAGCCTCCCATTGATTCATGGATTGGTGGGGGTGGGGAAGGAGAAATAGGATGCACAGCCTTGCTTTGAGGCTGCTACCTTTTTTTTGTTTATTTTGCGGCAGCACCTGGCTATGCCCAGGGGTTAATCCTGGTTCTGCATTCAGGAATAACTTCTGCTGGTGCTCGAGAAACCTATACGGGTGGCTGGCGATCAAACCTGGGTAGATCGCATACCAAGGAAACACCCTGCCCGCTGTACTGTCGCTCTGTCCCAAGGCAGATGACTTCTATCACGGGGAAAGATCAACTCTGGGCAGAGTTTTAAATAAGAAAGTTCAGGGTTTTGACAGTTGGGCCCTTTGGCCCAGTCAGATGCCTGGGGCCCTGAGACCCCTCTATCCCTATCTTCTCTATCTTCTGCCTGTCCACCCCACCCCACCCCATCCCACCCCAGTAGCACCTTCTGAAACAACTCTGTTCACCAAAGGCACCCTTTGCCTCCTGTCTTCCATCCCATAATTCTGCTTGCTTCCCGGTAGACTCAGCTCGGATGCAGGTGCTGAATTCTCATCCGTCAAGCACTTCCTTCCTTTTCCGTGTTGGGACTTCCTCCTTAAAAAGTTGTACTCTGGATGTGATACAAATGTGCATTTTAGACACTGTGGCTCCACATTGGAGCTGTGGAATGGGGGTGGAAGGATTCACACGAAATTCCTCCTCCCCCTGCAATGCCGTGATTGACTTCGTCTTTGCTTTTCAGGACATGTGAATTTTTCTGATGAGGTCACGGCCGGCTTGCGCATCTCAGATGGGGTGGTCCTCTTCATCGATGCTGCTGAGGGGGTGAGTGCTGGCTGCCCCAGGACCCTGCCCTGATAGGGTTCCCTGGAGCACAGGAGCTCAAAGCAGACGGGGCTTGAGGCTAGTGTCAGAAGTCCAGAATGGTGGCACAGGGTGGGTTCTGCTCTCCTAGTACACCCCCGAATGCAAGGCTTCCACTGCTCTGACCCGCCAGGCTCTGTGGAGATTGAGTTTGATACCACTATAACAAGACCCAGAAACTTCTCGTGTGTATTACTTAGCTCTCCAGCCACACTCCACACTCCCTCAGCCCTCCACATCTCCCACCTCAACCCCCAGAAAAAAAAAATGAGTATTTTTCTTCTGCGTGGGCCCCAGTCTTGTGGTCTGGATTTCTGTGGGTGCCGTCGTCCCACCCACCCCCACGGCCCCCATCTTCAGTCTGTTCTCCTGAGGCACAGAAATGAAAAGATAGCAGACAAAGGTGAATCAGAGGGAGGGCGGGAAGTTCCTGTATGAAGGATTCCAGTTATTAACCAGCTCCTCTAAGCTGGAGACTGGAGCGAAAAGGCCCAGAGTAGCTTGTTTTTGGTACTAGGGATCAATCCTAGGGCCTGAGTGTGTGCAGTCTCTACCCTACCACTGAGCCATGTCCCTGGCCTGAACGTCTGTTTTAGGGGCAACACCCCATGTTGCTGTGTCTTCCTGGCTCTGCTCAAGAGTGACTTACTGGGGTCATCCTTATGTGGGGCAAATCTTCTGGAAGGTCTTTTGTATAATAATACTGAAATTCAATCTAGTTAACCTCATCCAGTCTTTGTGGAGCTCGCCAGCAGAGGGAGCCAAAGATACTTGTTTGACCCTCCTGATTGTGTTTCAGGGAGAATTTCAAATTTAGGTAAAAGCTGCAAGAATAGAAAGAACTCACCCTCATTTGTTTTTTCGCTTCTTTCTCTTTGTACTCATGTGTCTGTTTTCCCCTTGCACTGTTTGAAAGGAAATATTTCAGAATGCAGTGCATGCCCTTTGAGCCCTGGGTTTGTTCTCAGCACCACGGTGTTCCCTGAGCAGTGCTGGCTGTGGGCGACTCCCAAGCACTGCATCAGGAATTGCCTCTGAGTCCCACCAGGTGGGACCCCCCTCACCCCCCCCCCAAAAAAAACCCCAAAAACATAGGTTCATGATTTCCATTCTAACCCTGAAGGTCTTCTCTCTGGCACCCCAAAGCTGGGCCCCCAGCATTAAGTATGTGTTCATGTGTCTGTCCTGCATGACGCCCTCTTGGAACTTCTCTGGCTGCCTTCGGGCACAAGTACCGCAGCTCCTTTCCTTGTGCTTCATTCATTGGAGTAATGCTCTCGGCTCCGCCGGGCCTGCGTCCCCCAGCTCTGGGCCTCTGTCCCTCAGGTGATGCTGAACACAGAGCGACTGATCAAGCACGCCGTGCAGGAGCGGCTGGCCGTCACCGTGTGCATCAACAAGATCGATCGGCTCATCCTGGAGCTGAAGCTGCCACCCACGGATGCATACTACAAGCTGCGCCACATCGTCGATGAGGTCAATGGGCTGATCAGGTCTGGTATCCCCGGAGGCCGGCCTCTGTCCGCAGGGACTTGCCATGAGAGACCCCAGCCTCTAGCCCTCTAAGGCTGCGTTGCATTTCTCAGCGTGAGTCAGGGAGCCTGTGGACAAGCCCGAGGCGCTGCCGTTGCTGCAGGCTCTGTGGCCGGGCTCCCTGCCTGCTGAGCAGCTGTAGCCATGGCACCAAGCCTTCTCTTTAGTGTTGCACTTGGGGTTTTTCTTTGTTGTTTTGGGAGTCACATAGCAGTGCTCCCAGCTTACTGCCTGCCCTGCACTTGGGTCATTCCTGGTGGGGCTCAGAGGACCATTTGGGGTACGGAAGATCAGACTCTAGCCTACCATCTGGAGCACTGCACAGGCTACTCCCCCTGTCCCGTCGGGGAGTGGCTGAGAGTAGCCAGAATGTGCTTTAGTGGCAGGAGGCTGAAAGGGGACACAAGGGACAGCTTTAGTCTGTCTGTGGAATCAGGCGAATTCTGAGTTCCCAAAGTAGGGAGGGAAAGAGATGCCCCCCACCACTGAAGGGGGAGTGCACGGCAGTCACTGAGCCTTGGAGGTGCGTGCTTTCAACGCAGCTCTGGGCTCCTGAGGAGCAGCTCTCGGGGAGCGAGGGGGCACTGTTCTGTATAAGCCAGTACTTGTATCTCTAAGTTAAGACTCCGTGGATCTTTGTGGGCTTGACATCTGCATTTCACTGGCTCTGATCCCTGGTAGTGAACTTGGGACACACAGTGGCTTTGAAAAAAACGTGTTTATAAAACAAAGCCAGACAATGCAGGATAAAAAAAAAAAAGAGTACGCCAAAGAGAATGGGGCCAGAGGTTTTATTTGTCATGGCTTTATTAAACTGGTATTTGTTTATTCTTGAGCACATTAGATCACTTCCTGTGTTCCAAGGTCTCTGTCTCATCCTCCAAGTTCACCCTTGTCTTTTGGATGCAGTGAGCATCTCCCAGATTGTGCAGAATGCTCAGGGAGTTTTTGTGACTGGGAGCCAGAGAACAACCTCGTCATGTTACTTCCTCTTTGCTTGTTTTGTTTTTGTGGTGCCAGTGACTGGGGATCGAGCCCAGGGCCTTCCACGTGCAAAGCAGCTACTCTGCTGCTGAGCTCGGCCTTGGCTCCATTCCATCCTGAGATGAGGGAGTTGGCAAAGCAGAGTGCGCCCTGGGTGCAGGCGTGGGTGGGGGCTGGAGGACCAAGCAGCCTGTGCGCTCACTCACATGGGTCTCCCTCTCAGCATATACTCCACGGATGAGAATCTGATCCTGTCTCCGCTCCTGGGCAATGTCTGCTTCTCGAGCTCCCAGTACAGCATCTGCTTCACACTGGGCTCCTTTGCCAAGATCTATGCTGACACCTTTGGTAAGTGCTGGCTGGCAGACTGTCTCGCCAGTCCCCCCCCCCCCCCAACACCCCGCATGTCTTTGCCGCCGTCGCCACGACTTCCTGCCGGAATCCCTGCTCGGGAGTGCATGCTTTCCCCAGTGACTGTTGGCGTGGTGCTCTTTGGGGCCTCTCTGGAGAGACACTTTCCAGACCGAATGGTTTCTAACAATAGAAAAACAAAGGTGACTCAGAGGGAATTCATTTCAGGAATAAGAATTTCCTCTAGAGTGTGGCAGATTTTGTTAGAAAACAGTCTGCTGTCCACAAGGTGCTTCCTGACCTCCTCACGGGACTCTCGGGCCAGTGTAGGTACAGCGGAGGTGGTCAGCCTGCATTTGTGGTCCTCACGCAGCTCCTGCCTGATCTGGCCATTGTGTGGGCCTCTGACTGCACCAGTTCCAGTGCCACTGTTCAGCTCAGAGGCTCTCACTCCCCACCCCGAGGCCTTCCTGGCTGCCTCAGATCCCAGGAGGCTCTATTTCCAAGCTGGGGGTAGTGGGGGGGGTGGGGCTGAAGCTCCGGGAGTCCCTACTACTTGGCCTGCCTCCCTCCATTTGGATACTTTTTTTTTCTTTTGCTTTTTGGGTCACACCCAGTGATGCACAAGGGTTACTCCTGGTTCATGCACGCAGGAATTACTCCTGGCCGTGCTTGGGGGACCATATGGGATGCTGGGAATCGAACCCAGGTCGGGCCGCGTGCTATCACTCCAGCCTGTCCTACCTGCTGTGCTATCACTCCAGCCCCCCATTTGGATAGTCTTGCTCCTGTGGAAAACATGGACAGTTGCTATGTGTGTGTGTATATATATTAAATATGCATATATGTCATTCATTCTCACTGAGGAAAGTAGAATTTCATGCAGAAAACAAAATTTTGGGAGCTGGACAGGTAGCTTAATGGGCTGGAATGCTTGCTTTGCATGTAGAAGGTCTGGATTTGATTCCACATGGCATGGTGACCAAAGCGAGTGGCACAGGTATATCCCAAAAACCGAAAAAAAAAAAAAGAATAATAAAAGAAAATTCCCCTCAGACCTCATTATTAGAAATTGCTATCTTTTGGTTAAGTTTCATATTTAGTGTTTTTCATAAATTAGGTCGTATTTTATAGAACAAGGTATCTGTGATGTATAGCAATATTAGCACTCAGCTTTAGATGCCAAGAAATTGCCTATTTCAATATGTTGATGTATAAAATGTATTTTATCAAGATGTCTGCCTCCGGATTCTCTGTAGATGTACGTACATTCTCCATCAGTCAGTTGTTTTGGTTGTTTTGAGATGATTTTTTTTTAAAGATCAGTAGATGAGCAATACGTGAAATTCATCTGAACAGCCTTCTTTTAGTTTCAGAATGTACTTTGTATTGGCATGGAAAGCAAAATTTAGGATATTTCAGTAATTAGATGTAAAGTTCATTCTTCATTTGATTGAAAATGTCCCTGAGCCTCAGGTGAAGTTTTTGGTTTTTTGTTTTTTTTTTTTCCCTTCCCTTTTTGGGTCACACCCGGCTATGCACATTCCTGGCCCATGCACTCAGAAATTACTCCTGGACTCAGGACCAAATGGGATTATGGGATGCTGGGAATCGAACCCAGGTTGGCTGCATGCAAGGCAAATCCCCTACCTGCTGTGCTATCGCTCCAGCTCCCTCAGGAGAGATTATTACTCGGCCTTTGAATGCTGTTTGTCATAAGTCACAGGTGGGCTTCTAGAAAGTTAGGCTGGAGGTGACCCTGGAAAAGTTTGGATGCTTTGCTTTGTTTTATCATGTGAGAATGTAGGCCCATGAGTCAGAACCTCCAGTGGGGACAAAACAAGAACCGTTTGGCCTTTCCTTTCTCCTCATATTGCCATGTTGCCAAAAAAGTCATCCTGTGTTGGTAGTTTTTTTTTTCTGTTTTGTTTTGTTTTGTTTTGTACCACATCCGGTGGCGGTGCTCAGGGCTGTTCCTCCTGGTTCTATCACCCCTAACAGGGAACCATATGTGATGCCGAAGGTCCAGCCCAGGTGGGCTGCGTGCGTGCAAGGCAGGCGCTTTAGACCTGTAGTATTTCTCTGACCTGATCGCACATTCTCTTACAAGCACTACGGCAAGCAGGAGGAATATTGCTCTGATTTCTGATACCTTTGTCTGACAGGTGAATAGAATCCACAGAGTGACGAATGGTGGGAAGGCAGGATGGGTCTTGTACCAGAGAGCAGCTCTAGGGATGTGGAATGTAGGGATTTTGGGATCTCAGTTCCAGTGGCTTGGGGGCTAGGGAAGGCTGCCTGCTGGGTGTGGGACCCTGGAGGCTAGGGGACCTGGAATTCTAAGCTTGGGAGGAGGGCACCTGGGTGGATCTGTTGGTCTTGTACTGCTTGTGACCTGTTCTCACCGAGAAGAGTTGCAATCAGACTGCAGCAGGTGGGTTGGGACCACAGTGGGATTTGGAATACCAGCTTTTGGAGTTTAGACTTTATTCTGCAGGCAGCTTGGAACTGTTCATGATTGGAGCAGGGGCTGGAGAGAGCACAGAGCTCAGCTGCTTGCCTTGCGTGTGACTGACCCCAGCTCTGTCCCTGGCTACATGTCCCCTAAGAACCACCAGACATGGGCCAAAAACAAAAAAGGAATTGGAGTGGGGTGGTGATAATGGGCAAAACTGATAGACTAGAGCAGAGAAGGCCACAGATGAGCAGAGGATACTGCGTTTCGACGTGGCCATATCTGTGAACTGATGGGAGCAACACTGGAGGGTCTTTGATTCCCGTCAGTGTCTGTGAAACCTCCATCAGGCCTGGGTTTGGTTTGTTTTGGCTTGGGGGCCACTCCTGGGTCTGTGCTTAGGGATCGCGCCTGGCAGTGCTCAGGGGACCGTCTGTGGTGCCAGGGATTAAGCGCAGGTCATTCACACACTGTCCCCTGGATCCTGTATCTCCCTAGGCTGGTTCTTAGGAGCACTCAAGCCACTGAGGTCTGTGATGGTGACTCAGCATGTGTGAAAGGCCCAGTGCTTCCAAGCAGGGAGGAGGTCATCACTGATAGCTTGGAAGGGAGGAGCTGCCGCGCCTGGGTGACGTGAGATGGGGGAGTCCATGGCAGAGCGTATTGCCTTAGGAGAAGGTGCTGGAGACCTTCTGCCACGTGTGTGCGAGAGAGGGACCCAGATACCAGTGACCTAACTGAATGGTGCAGGAGGTCATAACTCAGAACGTCTTGAATTCCAAAAACTTCAATAAGCTCAGAGAGATGGTGCAGGGATTATGGGGCTTTCCTGGCATGCAGCTAGCTTGAGTTCAATCCCTGACACCCCATGTTGCTCCCCAAGTATTGCCAGGAGTGAGCCCTGAGTACAGAGACGGGAGTAAACCCTGAGCACAGCCAGGTGTAAACCCGAATCCAAAAACTTTTCCAAGTTACAGTAGTGACTAGGATTCGATGGGTACCATTCTGCTGAGAGTATTAATCAGTAAAGGTGAGACAAAGTGGGCATTGGTGTTTTGTCTGAGTCCTACAAGTCTGATCAAGAAATGTAGGGCTAGGAGCCAGATGGATAGTACAGCTTGTAGGGTGCTTGCCTTGCATGCAGCTGATCTGGGTTTGATTCTCAGAATCATCCCCTTTTGTCCCCTAAGCCCTGCCAGGAGTCATCCTGCGTGCAGAGCCAGGAGTAAGTCCTGAGCACCGCTGGGTGTGGCCCAAAAACCAAAAGGAAAAAAAAAGTAGGGTTAGTGGGTATCCTAGGGCAATAAGGCTGCCAGAGGGCAAACATAGCTTGTGTATGCTGGGAGGGACTGGGGAGGAGGTGCTAAGCTTTGCCTCTGGATGGGGCAGGGTTAGGCGGAGGGCACCCAGTTGCTCCCCCATGCCGCCACCCCCCCCCACCCCCCCCGGAAAGGAGCACAGGTCCTTGTCTGCAGCTCAGTGTTTGTAGAGATGGACTTAGACGTGTGCTCAGCACAGCGTAGCAGCTTTTGGAGGGGGCAGGGGTTGTGTGGCTTATTTGGCTTTATGAGCCATACCCAGCAATTCTTAGGGGTTACTCCTGGCTCCATGCTTAGGAATCACTCCTGGCAGTGTTCAGGGAAACTATATGTGGTGCCAGGGATTGAACCCGGGTCGGCCATGTGCAAGGCAGGTGCCCTGCCTACTGTGCTACTGAGTGCTCCAGCCCTGCTTTGGGATATTTAGTTTGTTTTTTTTCCCTTCCATTCCCTTTGTGGCTGCTGCTGTATTGCCTATGTCACACACACTGATTGTAACTGATTGCGACCCTTGCAAGTTCGGCCTCAGTGCTCAGCAGGCGTGCACGCTCCAGTGATGGAGCACTCATGGCTCCCTGTCAGCGACCCCCGTTCTGTACTCACACGTCTCTGGTTGTGGTGCTTGCTAGCTGCACATTCCGTTGCCGGGTCATACACACCTGGCCACACTCCAGCAATTGCACACTTTTTCTTGGCTGCTGGGGGATCCTGAGGACCACGCTCAGCACATGTGGTAGCACTTTGAACTCATGACCTCATGCCTGAAGGTGCATTTAGCCCCTCTGCCACTTTCTGTGCCCCCAGCTGGCACTTTGGGATATCTCTGGTCCTTCTTTGTGCCCAGTGCCCTTTTCTGCCTGTCTGACAAGAAGCAAATGTCTAATAGGAAGGTGCCCGAATGCCCGAGGTGCCAGCCATTTATATGCCCAAAAGAGAATTTCAAGTAATTGTCTTCTAGGTTGATTATAATTGTCTGGTTTTCTTCCAGGTGATATTAACTACCAGGAGTTTGCTAAAAGACTCTGGGGTGACATCTACTTCAACCCCAAGACGTAAGTAGCATGTGGGGTGACTGGAGAAGTGACCCAATCCCCAGTGAGAGCAGAGAGAGGCCGCAAGTCCTTGACACTAGCCATTCCTCCGTGGGTGCAGCCCACTGGCTCTGCAAGCAGGGATCTCACCCTGGATTCATCAGTGCTCTGGGTGTTATAAGGGTCACATGCACCTCCCTGCCCTGGGCCTTGAATATTCAGGATGTAGGAGTTCATTCTGGTTCATATGTTCTGGTCATTGCTGTTTGGTTCTCCCTCCTGGATTGTCTCTCACTTTCTTTTTTCTTCTGTAGGCGAAAGTTCACCAAGAAGGCCCCAACCAGCAGCTCCCAGAGGAGCTTCGTGGAGTTTATCTTGGAACCTCTGTATAAGATCCTGGCCCAGGTGAGTGCTGGCCGCCAGCTCACATCTGCCCTTCTCGATGGCATGGAGCAGAGCCGCAGGCCAGCTTCTTCACTGACCGTGAGGACAGGACAGTCAGATCCCAGCTGCTGATTGAATCATCTGGGCCTAGATGCACCATTGGAATCAGGATAAAGGGGGACGGGGAGGGGACTGGGGTGGGCGGGGCGGGGTTGCAAAAGAAGAAGGTCAAGAACTGGGAGGAGTTTTTGTTTGCCTCCATTTGACTAGTCAGATATCATTGCCAGGTTGTTTGTTTATTTTCCCCTCACCCCTCAATTTTTTTTTTATTTTTTTAATTTCAACACCATGGTTTACAGAGTTGTTCACAATACAGTTGTTACGGCCATTCACTCGACACCAATCCCACCACCAGTGTCACCTTCTCGCCACTGTTTTTTCCATTTTTCCCAGCCACCCCCCAAGCCTGCCCCCTTAGCAGGCACACAATAATTTATTCACACAATGATTTATTTTATATTGCTAATTACAACTAAATGGCTAATGGAATTACCAAAAATACTCAAAATTTGTGGAAATTATTTTCTCTCACATCTGGTCGTTAAGTCCTTGTCTATGGATTTACTAGCTGTTTGTTGCCAGTTGAGCCTTCTGTGTTGTTTTTATTTGTTGAGGTTAGCAGGCTTTTATGTACTGGGACTTCAGTAGCACTGTTGCACTATACTGTAGCACTGTCCTCTCATTGTTCATCAGTTTGCTCGAGTGGGCACCAGTAACGTCTCCATTGTGAGACTTGTTACTGTTTTTGGCATATCGAATACACCACGGGGAGCTTGCCAGACTCTGCCATGCAGGCGGGATACTCTTGGTAGCTTGCTGGGCTCTCCAAGAGGGGTGGAATCAAACAAGGATTGGCCGCGTGCAAGGCAACCACCCTACCCGCTGTGCTATCGCTCCAGCTTGAACTTCAGTAAAGTGGAAATTGGAGATGTCCAGCGGCCGTGTATGTGGCCGCATGGTCTAGAAACTTCAGGATCTGTAGAACTGGACCAAGGAGTTGACATGGCAGCAGCTGTGGGGTGTGGATGGCTTCTGGGGCTTCCGGAAGTATGGGGGAGCCCCTCCCACACACACACTCTGAGAAGATCCCAGAGTTCTCAGCCTGAAAGACTCCTGCACCTGAAATTCCCGTGGTTTGGTATCTGCAGAGATTAATAATGAGTCAGTGGAGTTGGGCCGTTGGCGTGACGGCAGCTGTGGGTTATGTGTGGTCCTGGGGCTTTGACTGGGCAGGCCCACCCACTTCTGAGAGCACCCCAGAGTTTTCAGCCGGGAGTCCTGTGTATCCATGAATTTGAGTGCTTTGGTTTGCCTCTCTTGAATTCATAATGAATTCAAGATTTCATGAATCTGAATCTGTAGAATCGGACCAGTGAGGGAGTCATTTCCCTAGGGTTTGGCTGCAGCATTTCTGACAGCAGTGAGAGAAGGGAATAGCTGCGCATTTGATGGGCACCCGGAGAATCTGAGTGATGCACTGTGGCGCATCCCATAAAGAGAAGCCCATAAGCGTGTCCGTAATGGCAGTTCTGGGCACCGCGGCTGTCCGTGGAGGGGCGTCTTCACAGCCGAGGTCTGCCTCAGAAGCTTGAGGTCTGCTGCGTGTGGGCTTGAGTGTGCGTTCTGGAAAAGGCAGCATGAAGGGGAGCTGCCACATATGGGGTCTTCAGACAGACTGTTCCGCCACAGCAGCTCTACAAAGACATGCCCAGCCACTGCACACCCAGACGTGCGCATGGGCACATGGCCATTCTAGCTGCCCGCACACCTGACGAAAATGTATTAGTGCTCAACAGTAGACTCGTGTGTCAGAAAGGGGTCAGTAAAATAAATGTGTGGAACCTGTCTCGGTAGAGACGACGAGGCCACGGGGATGATGTAGTTTGGCGCTGCCCTGACATGGGTTGGACTGCTCCTGACCTTTTTTGGTCCCTTTCTGGGCTATGAGTCCTCAGACTCTGGCTCTAAATAGGGAAAGGCAGAAATTCCCTGTGCTGGCGGAGATGCTGCTTTTCTAGCACCAGGGGGCAGCACTGGCAACAGTCAGGCTGGTGTGTCTGCCAGGTCGGTTTGAAGGGCTGGTCCCAAAGACAGTCCTGGAAGGAATCTGTTGCTCTTGCCAAGATCTCCTCATAGAAGGGAACCTACTGCAGTGACCTTTCAAAATGCCCTTTGGTGGCCGGAGAGGTAGGACAGGCGGGTGAGGCGCCTGCCCTGCAAGCAGCAGACTCAGCTTCAAATCCCAGCATCTCATAGGGACCCTGAGCAGCACTGCCTGTGACACAGCAAAGAAATAAATAACGCCTTCCAGCCTTCCCTGGTCCTCTGTCCTGTACCCTGGGACCACCACTGCTGATGACAAAGGGTCTGGTGTTGTGACAGGTGGTGGGTGACGTGGACACCAGCCTCCCAAGGACCCTGGATGAACTCGGCATCCACCTGACTAAGGAGGAACTGAAGCTAAACATCCGCCCCCTTCTCAGACTGGTGTGCAAGAAATTCTTCGGCGAGTTCACAGGTAACAGCACCCTGTGGGGGGCTGGGTGCAACCCGCAGTGGTGAGCCTGCCACTGTTCAGAGCACCTGGCTTTCCCTCTTTCCCCTCCCTACTGGGCACTACCAAGACTTTTGTCTGGGGAAACAAGCATTTCAGCGTGCCTGCCAGGAGACGGGGACACAGATGTCGGGGTCCTACACTTTCACGCAGAAGAGCCAGGGAGGTGGAGAGGGCAACAGCCAACGACCCTCCAGATCTGAGTCCAAGTTTGTGGATCACAGGTGTCTGATCCCCGGAGTGCAGAGTGGCACTATTAAGTGTGGTGGTCAGCCTGGTACACAGATGCCAGTCAGCAGCTGCTCAGTGGCAGAGCACACACATTAGGCCCTCGTATCTCCTGGCACTGCAGGGCAGGAGCAAAGGTATTGGCCATGTGTGGCCGGCTGCCAGAAGAGCAGGGGCCAGTCTCAGAGGGGCAGTGCCCTTCTGGGGTGGTTCTGAGTGCCTCAGAAGTCGGGTCTCAGATCTTAGGGTCAGTAAGGGCCTCTGACTGCCAGACAGACGCTCAGGAACTGCTACAGAAATGAGTCCCGGGAACCCCTTGTCCCTGGAACTTCTTCCTGGCATGGGTGTGCCTCCGGGCCCTCGGACAGCTCACTGTGGGGAGCAGGGAGCCGCTCGCCCGGAGTCTTTGTCCCGCTCCTGAGCTCAAGATCAGTCTTTGCCCTTGGTGCTCTGGGGCTGTGCCAAGTGGTCTGCTCCTAGGTGCCTGCTCCCCCAAGGGAACCCTGACGCTCCCGTCTCCCCACAGGCTTTGTGGACATGTGTGTGCAGCACATCCCGTCTCCGAAGGTGGGCGCCAAGCCCAAGATCGAACACACCTACACGGGTGGCGTGGACTCCGACCTTGGCGAGGCCATGAGCGACTGTGACCCCGATGTAAGGAGCACCCTGGGGCGGGGGTGCTATTTTGGTCCCTGGGCAGGGCCCTCTCCCACCCTCACTGTGTCTGCTGAGCGCAGGGTCAGGCCGGCCTGTGTTCAGAGGTCACCACTTGCCAGTGAAGCGAGCTTGGACACTTCACTCACTCTTGCTCATGAGACTGTAGAGAGTGGGGCGATGGCTAGGTGAGGTCAGAAGGAAGGAAGCAAGGCCAGAGAGATGGTGCGCTCTTGGCTCACATGCCAACTCCGGTCTCAACCCCGGCACTAGCTAGCACACCCCTGAGCCCTGCCAAGGGTCACTCATGAGCAAGGAGCCAGGAGCGTAACTGGGTTTTCCCCAAACACCCCTCCAAAAAGGGAGGGAGGATGAGAAGGAGGAAATGGTTTCTGGCGATGCCTGTGGCACCAAGCAGGGAATTTTCTTGGGGCCTCATCCCCTCTCTCATACCAGCACTGTGAAAGGGAAGCATTGCTAATCGGCGTTCCCTAGAGAGTAGCCTAAGACGGCGCTTTGTCCCCCCCTCTAGGGGCCCCTGATGTGCCACACCACGAAGATGTACAGCACTGACGATGGGGTCCAGTTTCATGCCTTTGGCCGGGTACTCAGCGGCACCATCCATGCTGGGCAGCCGGTGAAGGTGCTGGGGGAGAATTACACCCTGGAGGACGAGGAGGACTCGCAGATTTGCACCGTGGGCCGCCTGTGGATCTCCGTGGCCAGGTACTACCAATGACAACTTCTTGGGCACACCAGGGCCTTGACCCTGGAATGGCCCCAGGTGCTTCTTTGAGGACTTCTTGAAATGCAGTCGCAGGGGCCCCATTAGTGAATCTTCCTCCTACCCCTCACGCTCACTCTGGCCAGAGTGTGGCTATTACAAAGCCGGTCCCTGTGTTTGAGTGGCCTGTGGTCTATTTTTGCGCATCCTAATCCTCTGTCTTCTCTGATCCTTGAGTCATAACCTTCATGTTTTTTTTCCAAGAAAAATTGTTCCTTGACTCCCCCGTTATTGTTTGTTTGTTTGGGGGCCACACCCAGCAGTGCCCCAGCACTAGTCAATATTTACTCCTGACTCTTCACTCAGGGATAACTTCTGGTGGGGGGTGGGGGGGAGGCGCATATGTGTTGCCTGGGATCAAACCCGGGTCATTGACGTGCAGGGCCAGCGCCCCCCCCCCCCCCCCCCCCCCCCGGCTATTCTGTCTCTCCAGCCCCTTCACTGACCGTTCTTTGACCGAGGGAAGACTTCCTGGCGCCCTGCACCATCCCAGTACACCCAAGCTCAGCTGGGCCTCTGGGCTGCTTGTCGCTTGCTCAGTGTCTTCTCCGCCACGAAGCAGCTCTGAGACTGTGGTGTGTCTTCAGGCAGCCCCACCTCTGCTCCAGAGCCCCGTCCCGCCAGGCACGAGACCCTTGGAGCACCCAAGAGCTTCAGTAGCTGCTGTGGTGCTTTTGTACTGTCCCCAAGGCCCATCTCCAGTCCAGTTCCCTGCATTGTCCTCTCGCAAAACCTGATACTCTGCCCTAAGCACTCCTCAGTTTGTGACGACCTGGTGGGTGGGGTGTCTGGCTCAGAGCAGGCACGCAAGACATTTCTGGGGCGAGTCCTGTGTCCGGGGCTCACACCCCCTTGTTGACCATTGTCCAGGTACCACATTGAGGTGAACCGAGTCCCTGCCGGCAACTGGGTTCTGATAGAAGGCGTGGATCAACCCATCGTCAAGACAGCGACTATCACTGAACCCCGAGGCAATGAGGAGGTAGAGGCAGCCACAGTGACTCAGCGCGTCTGGGGGGAACACAGGAGCTCGGGACTCCTGGGGCCGGCCACGCTGAATTCTTGCGCACTTGGGAAGTCCCGTTCGTGCTTTTCCTTTCTCTGCCTGGGCCCAGATGGCTCCCGGGGTGGTGTGTGGCCACTGGACAGGGGACAGGTCACTGCTGTCTCACCTCTGCCCCTCCAGGGCCTGCTGGGCACACGCCTTCACACCTTTGTGTTTCGGGTCTCAGGCTCAGATTTTCCGGCCCTTGAAGTTCAACACCACGTCTGTCATCAAGATCGCCGTGGAGCCAGTCAACCCATCTGAGCTCCCCAAGATGCTGGATGGCCTGCGCAAGGTCAACAAGAGTTACCCCTCCCTCACCACCAAGGTGGGTCCCTGCAGGGTCTGCCCACCCGTTCCCTGAGGCCACCCTGCAGCCTGTGAGCGGGGCTTGGAGAGCGCAAGTGAGCAGGCACTGTCTCAGAGGCGGGCCAGGGGGGTCCTCTGGGTCTGAGCACGTGTTTCGCACACAGGAGCCCAAGGTGCAGTGCCCTGCACATGGTTCCTTGAGCACTGCGGGGAGCAACTCCCTCCCAAGCTCAGAGCTGGGAGTAGCCCCTCAGCATTGCTGGCAGGTCCCAAAAGCCAGAAAGACTAAGGAAATCCCAGAGAGAGCAGGGTTCCCCCCAAATGTTGGAGAGGCCTGGGTCAGGGGCTCCCGTCAGTGGCGGGCATGGAGCGGGCAGGTCCCGGGCTGCCCTGTGCATCTGTTCCCCCTGCTATGCGGGCACACGGGCAGCCTGCGACCGGTCCGGGCCGTTGCAGGTGGAAGAGTCTGGCGAGCACGTGATCCTGGGCACAGGCGAGCTCTACCTGGACTGCGTGATGCACGACCTGCGCAAGATGTACTCGGAGATAGACATCAAGGTGCACGGCCCCAACCCTGGGGCAGGGGCATTGCAGGGGGCCTTCGCGGACCTGTTGGTGGTCTACTGCAGCAGCCCAGGAGCCCTCTGGTGGCCAGGGCTCTGAGCGGGTGGTTGAGGAGAGCAGGGCACTGCCTCGCGGGCTCCCTGAGTGTTGGTGAGCCTGGGATTGGGGCAGAAGTGCCTGGTTTCTCGCCTCCGTATCTGGTGCCTTGGATTGTGCCGAGAGCCTGTGTCTCCGGCCCAGGTCAGTGGATTTGAGGGGGAGCTGGGCTTTCCGGACTTGAGAGCAGCGTGGGTCATGGTGGCTCTGGCAGACCCACGGGAGCACTCAGAGAAGTGGGGGAGTATACACTTTGTGAGGTTTCCTCCGGCCTTTCAGTGATGGGACCCTGTCACCATCCTTGTCACCAGTACTGGTTAGCACGATGCTCTTGACAAGGAACCCAGGCCTCCTGACCGTCTGCTATGGTTTGCAGGTGGCCGATCCTGTGGTCACATTTTGTGAGACAGTGGTGGAAACGTCCTCCCTCAAGTGCTTTGCCGAGACGCCTAACAAGAAGTAAGCTGGGGGTTGCTGGCTGCAAGGAGTGGGGAGGGCTTTCCTTGAAGGCCGCATCTCGGCCTCTCATCCCTTACTCCTGTGGCACAAGGCCTTGCCTTTCTGGGGGTTCCTCCCAGCAGCAGTCCTCAGCTCCCCAGGCTGGGTTTTGCTTGGGAGCTGAGAATGGGCTGCTGCTCACACCTGGGGGCTGCATCTGGCTGTGCGAGGGCTGGGGGGCGTGTTGTGCAGGAATCGAACCTGGGTCAGGTGCATGCTGGCACTGTGCTGTCTCCTGGCCCTTGTACACCTTTCTGATCACTCTCTACAGTGTACCGCATTGGGTCATGCCTCAGTGGGAGAGCACCTGCCTTGAGTTCATGTTTGATTTCTGCCATGGAACACACAAGCTCCTCACTCCTATTTCCCTAGCTCCTGGGAAGCATTTTTTGTTTGTTTTAAAGAGCTTAGTGCATGCTTCACAGTAGGAGAAGGCCCAGGTTTGGTCCCCAGCACCATATTCCACCCCCAACCTCCCACCCCAATATAGATGGGCTTTGGGTCTGAGCACCTCGGATATTCAAATTTTAAAGCACAAACCCCTTTGTGCTTTCCTTTCTCCGCCCTTCCCCCTTGTCCCCTGCCCATGCCTTTCACCGATGTTCCTGTTTGTGATCCCTTTGTCACTGTGTGTGTGGTGGGCATGGGGCAGATTAAACCCTGGGCCTCTGGGACTGGATTGATAGCACAGCACGTAGGGCACTTGCTTGCACATGGCTGACCTGGATTTGTGTCCCTGGCGCCTCAGATGGTTCCCTGAGATTTTCCAGGGGTGAACCCTGAACCAGAAATAAGCCCTGAACGCTGCCAGTGTGGCCCAAAGACTGAAAAATTTAAAAATTTTAAAAGTAAACAAATCGTCGTGCTCAGTGAAGCATCCCTAAGCCACCTGCTCATTGCCATCTTTCCTTCTGAGTGACCCTCCTGCACATCCTGCTGACTGTCCTCCTTCCCTGTTTCCTTTCTGATCAGGAACAAGATCACCATGATTGCAGAGCCCCTTGAGAAGGGCCTGGCCGAGGACATTGAGAACGAGGTGGTGCAGATAACGTGGAACCGGTAAGACCAGGGCCAGGGGCCGTGGGGGTGCAGCTAATCTGCCAGGCACATGGGGCCTGTGGAGGTGCAGCTCCCCTGTTGTCCTGTTCCTGGAAGGTGTGGGCACTGCCAGGCAGGCAGGCGGGCACTGAGCCTGCCATGCTAGTTTTCTCCTCCTCCCCCAGGAAGAAGCTGGGAGAGTTTTTCCAGACCAAGTACGATTGGGATCTGCTAGCTGCCCGTTCCATCTGGGCTTTTGGGCCTGATGCCACCGGCCCCAACATCCTGGTGGACGATACCCTGCCCTCTGAGGTATGGGATCCCGCGGGTGCCCCATGGTGGAGTTGCAGCTCTTTCCTGAGAGCCTTCTGTGAAGGAGCGTGAGGCCCCTGACCTCATGTTTGACCCCACCGCTGTACACACCCCTGCTGAGAGCCCTCCCTCACCTTCCCGCAGGTCGACAAGGCTCTTCTTGGCTCGGTGAAGGACAGCATCGTTCAGGGTTTCCAGTGGGGAACCAGAGAGGGGCCCCTGTGTGATGAGTGTGAGTCCCCACCCGCCGCCTCTGCTGGTCCTGCCCTGGAGGGAGGTTGTTGCTAGCCTGGCATTTGCTCCTCTCTCCTGACAGCCAACGGAAGATGCAGGGGGTGGGGGCTGGCACAGTAATATAGTGGGTAGCGTGCTTGCCTTGCACACGGCCGACCTGGGTTCAATCCCTGGTGTGTCTCATACGGTCTCCTGAATGGAGAGTCAAGAGTGACCCCTGTGTATTGCCAGGTATGACCCAAGGACCAAAAATAAGGGAACGGGAAGGGGCGGAAGATAGAGCTAGATGGGGTTTAAGAGACCAAGATTGCACATCTGTGCAATTTTCAAAACTTACTCTGCAGGGGTGGAGCAATAGTACAGCGGATAGGATGATTGCCTTGCACGCAGCAGACCTGGGTTCGATTCCCAGCGTCCCATACGGTCCCGCAAGCACTGCCAATAATTACTTAGTGCATGAGTCAGGAGTAGCCCCCGTGCAATGCCGGGTGTGATCCCCCCCAAAAAAAACTCTGCATCCCAAGATAGTTTACTATCTAGGGCTATGTGGTGTGGGTTCAGTCGCCTGAGGAAGTAGCCCCTCAGCATCCCTGGTCATGGTGCCCCTGCAGAAAAAGATCATTTAATATCTGCAAAAGAAATGCCTCGACCCCCCAGGAAGCTTTGTGGTGTCTGAGCCTGGACCAGATCCAACACCAAGAACATTTGCTTAGCTGCTGGCCCCCACGCCCTGCTCAGGTGCTCATCCACGCGATTGACTGTGGCTGTCAGCTGCTTTCTGGCTCCCTGGGCTCTGCCCATGGTCCCTGGCGCCCACCACAGCCCCCCAGTCACCTCCTCCGTCTCCTTTCCAGTGATCCGAAACGTCAAATTTAAGATCCTGGATGCTGTGGTTGCCCAGGAGCCCCTGCACCGGGGCGGGGGCCAGATCATCCCCACGGCCAGGAGAGTCGTCTACTCAGCCTTCCTCATGGTAAGGGCCAGGCCAGCCCCGCAGCTCCCCCTCTCGTGGGGCTCGCTTCCCGCCTACAAGAGTCTCCCGCCACCTCTGTTGCAGGCCACGCCACGTCTCATGGAGCCGTATTACTTTGTGGAGGTGCAGGCCCCTGCGGACTGCGTGTCTGCTGTCTACACTGTCCTGGCCAGGCGTAGGTGAGCAGCCCCATCCTCAGGGAAGCACCGTGGAAGGGAGCAGACGGGGCTGTCGGGAAGGAGGGCATAGGAACAGCAGTGAGGCAACCCCCTCCACTCACCACAGATTAAAGTTGGGAGGTCCCAGGCTGGAGAGCTAGTGCAGGGGTTAGGACGTTTGTCTTAGGCGCAGCCAACCCAGGTCTGATCCCCATCACCACATGCAGTTCCCCCTCCAAGCCCTGCCTTAGTGTAGAGCCGAGAACAGTAAAACAGGATATGCTGTTCTTTCTTGGGTGCCCCTTCCAGGAGAGTGCCCAAAGCTGCCCCTTTAGTCTCAGGCCTGCCCTCTGGGCGTGGTGGGGTGACTCTGTTGTGGGTGGGGCTGCCTCGCCCTTTTCCTCTGGGGGACTCGGGCCTGAGCCTCTGCTTCTGTGACTCAGGGGGCACGTAACACAGGATGCGCCCATCCCTGGCTCCCCTCTCTACACCATCAAAGCCTTCATCCCTGCCATCGATTCTTTCGGCTTCGAAACGGATCTGCGGACTCACACGCAGGGCCAGGCCTTTTCCCTGTCTGTCTTCCACCACTGGCAGGTGAGAAGGCCCCGCCTCCCCCCTCTGAGAAACCAGCCCCCTTGACCTGGTCCTCTTCCAAGCCCGGAAGAACTTTCTCATACCTTTGAGCGCTCGGGGAAGGTGGCCAGGGCCATGTGAACCCCTCTGCCTTCCAGATTGTCCCTGGTGATCCTCTAGACAAGAGCATCGTGATCCGGCCCCTGGAGCCCCAGCCAGCCCCCCACCTGGCTCGGGAATTCATGATCAAAACCCGGCGGCGGAAGGTGTGTGTCTTTGGGTGGGCTCAGTGCAGTGGGGCTTCCCTTCTTCATTTGGAACTGTTGTCCTGAAGCCACCTTGCAGATGGGGCGCTTTGCAAGGTGCAGGGTACAGCATGGCTCGGGAGGGCATTCTCCCCTGGGATGCTCCCATCTTCCCCTGCACCTTCCCCCAGCTGACTCAAGCGCCCCTTCTCCTGTCGATCCCTCGGCAGGGCCTGAGTGAGGATGTGAGCATCAGCAAGTTCTTCGACGACCCTATGCTGCTGGAGCTCGCCAAGCAGGATGTAGTGCTCAATTACCCCATGTGAGCCCCCCTGCTGTTGGCGCCACCACCTGCTACACCCAAGCTTTCTGTCCTGGGCGGAGGTCAGACCAGCCAGGGGTCGGGCACCCCCCGCCCCAAGGAGGGAGCAGGTGCCCCCCACGCCCCGTTACTGCTGGCTTCGTTCCCAGGGAACAGAGTGGATCTTGGGCTCTGCGAAGAACAAAGGGCCCAGTCTCCAGGAGTCTTATGTTTTATAAGTTTGATCTTAGATATGATTTTCAAGTGAACAGAACATTCTGGCTCCTGCCTGTGTCTGCTTTCATTCCGACCCCCCTCCAGCCTCTGGCGCCCTGGCCCTGGGGCTGTGTGAGCCTTCCCTGAGGCAGCACTGTCCCACTTCCCACTTCCTGTCTGGGTCCCGGGGACATCCCTGATGGGGAGCACCTGCCACAGGCTGAGTTCCTGAGCCTGGAGCAGCTTTCTTCCTCCGCCCCACTCTGCCTGCGGTGGGCAGGCTGCTGGCATCGCTTCCTTCCTCTGCCCTTGCCCGCCCCAAGCATCCTTAGCCCTGGGCCTGGGAACCAGAATTCTCTTTTCCAGCCCACCACTCTGGGTCTTTCCCGCCACCAGCACCTCCGTTCCCATCATCTTTCTCTACCTAATAGAGGAAGAGACTTGGTTTTCTTCAAAGCTGCTTTATTCGAAACTGGGTCTGGGAGTGCCAAGGCCAGCCTGGTGGGCGTTGCTACTTCTCCCCGGTGTCCTGCACCGCCTTCTTGATGTAATCTCTGTACATGGTGTACACAGCCCCTGTGGGAGGAGGGCAGCGTCCCAGCCATGAGGGACACCTGGGCCCCGACTCCCCCATTCTTGAGGGTCCAGCTTCCCTGCTCCTCCTGCCTGGTCCCATCGGGCGCAGGCTATGGAGTTCCCATGGCCCCTCCAGCCTGTTGCCCGCTGAGAACCTCAGCAGCCTGGGGGGTGGCAGGGGGTTGCGTCCTGGAAGGGCACATGACTCTGGGCAGAGGGGAGAAAGTGAGCATAGCTTCTGTGAGAGTTTTCTTGTTTTGGTTTGGGGGCCACATCTGGTAGTGTCTGACCCCTGTCCATCTCTCTGGCTTCAGTGAGTGGTTTTGGGGCCCACCCAGTAGTGTTTGGGGGGCCATGCGGGCCCCATCATGTGAAGCCTGTGTTCTGGCCTTTTTTGTTCCCCTCCCTGGCCCCTGCATACTTCTGAGCTAGGACAAATTCAGGAAACAGTCTATACCATCTCCACAGACGCGGGAAGGGAGATGAGCCAGGGAACCCTGGAAATGTCCCTTTCTGGGGCCTTCACGCCTGCCCCCCGCCCCCCCCCACCCCCCATGGAGCCTGGCCCGGGAAGGGAACCAGGGTCCCAGCCCCTTCAGCGCTAAGGCCTCCCAGACTCTGCTCTTGGCAGCCCACCTTGCTACTCACCGAGCATGATAGCGCCCACGGCGCAGGCATGTGCCGCCACCCGCGTGTGGATCAGGTGGATGGACATCTTGGTGGGACCCCGAGCCTTCAGTCGGTAAATCCTGTATGCCGCCACCACCAGGCAGCCTCCTAAGCCTGTGTCGGAGAACGGGAACCCTGGGCCACAGCTGGCACTGCCCCACGTGCTCCTGAGAGCTGGCCAGGCAGCTGAGGGCTGGGGGAGGCTGTCCTTGAAGGCTGGGCAGTCCCAGGGGTGTTTCTGACTGGCCACCTCCTTCAGGTGACCCCTGCCCCGATGCCAGCCTGTCCACACTACCCCTCAGTCCCCCCAGTGGTGCTCCCACCACTGGTTCCTGCAGCCCCAACCTTGCCCTCGCCCTCCTGCTCCCTTGACTGCAATGGGGGCCCTCAAATGCTCCTTCCCACCCCGAGGCTGGCTGGTGCCCCATTTCCCCACCACCCACGTTGTTTGCCACCTCACCCACCCAGATGGCCTCATTTTATTGGACAGGGCTGCCCGTGGGCACCTTTGCTCTCAGACTCAAACTTTTCTCTTGGAAAGTTTGGGGAGACCTGTCCTCAGCAGCCCCCACTGTGCCTCCCACTCACCCACTGGCACCAGCGGCGACTCCCTGGTCTTCCTCAGGAGCCTCGTGGACACGCTGTCGTCCCCCTCGGGTGGTACCCACCAGCCTTTGTTGGCCGACATCCTGGTTCCAGGCTCCTAGTCGGCTGCCTGGCCAGCCCTGGAAGGCAGCCCCCCGCAATGAGAACTGGCCTTAGGCTGGGGTGCAGGGGCGGGAGCTGCTTACTCCTCTCACCATGCCTAGCACCACCCCTATGCGGCAGGACGGCCCCTGGCTCCCGGCTCCGAAGGCGCCTCCACCAGGCCCATGTCCGACTCCCCGGCTTCCTCTCCCGCTCCTCACTTGGCTCTTGGCGCCGCTTCCCCCTCCCCCAGCCACCGCCCTGTGGTCTGATCCTTGGGCCAAGAAAAGCAGCTGGGAAGATCCACAGCGGAAGGTGGGAGGAACCGACTGGAGGAGTAGGGCCTCGGGCCTTGGTCCTGGGGGAGCTGCCCAGCAGGACCTGGGCCCCAGGGAGCTGCTCGCGTTCATGGGCTCAGCTGGAAGCAGAGATCTGGGACTTCGCTGAGCAAGCCCAGATAATTTCATCTCTTATCTCCGTCTCTGGGGTTGTGACCACCTGTTGCCCCACTTGCTCACTCCTATAGAATGCTGGCTTTGATCACAAACAGCTGAGACCTTGGTCCTGGTCCTCCCACCCAGGGTTTCCCCGTGGGCTGTATGGCTCCCTGCTCTAGGCACTGCCTCCTCCAAGTCGCCCCTCGTGGCCTGGGGGAGCAAGGGCTGTGGGATGCTGCCACGCCCCAAGTAGGTGCTAGAGAGCGGTGGTCTGCTTCTGCCAGGGCCTCCACTCGCACCAGTGCTGGAGCTGCCACGATGGGGCCAAGGAAGCAGGTATGTCTGACAGGCGTTGCTGTCTGAATGGAGATGGAAGGGAGGAGATTGGACTCGGACAGGCCATCTACAGCTTCTGGACCGGAGCTGCAGACACACATGTGATGAGAGAACAGATGGAGAGTTGCCACAGTATCTCCCTCCTCAGGAACCTGCAGCTGCGTTGAACACAGACTTGATAGGGAAGCCAATGGGACCAGAGTTTGACACGGATAGAGGTCTTGGGTTTCTGCCAAGTACGTGTATCAGATATTCTTTCCTTTGGAGTGGTGTGGTGGATGCACACCCGGCAGTGCTCAGGGTTTACTTCTGGCTCTGTGCTCAGGGATCACCCCTAGAGGGACTCTGAGGACCATATGAAACGTCAGGGATTGAACCTGGGTTGGTCACACGCAATGCAAGCAAACAAGCGCCCTACCCTCTCTATCACTCCAGCCCTTATTTTCTCATGCTTGTGTCAGATATTCTGAACAATGTGGGGTGTTTAGAAGGCAGGCTGGTTGGCCCTGGTCACTTTAAGGATGCTACTTGAGGGACTGGAGTGATAGTACAGTGGGTAGGGTGTTTGCCTTGCGTGCGGCCGACCCGGGGTTTTATTTACTTTTTTTTTTCTTTGCTTTTTGGGTCACACCCAGCAATGCTCAGGGGTTTTACTCCTGGCTCATGCACTCAGGATTTACTCCTGGTGGTGCTTGGAGGACCATATATGATGCTGGGAATCGAACTCGGGTTGGCGGCGTGCAAGGCAAACGCCCTACCTGCTGTGCTATTGTTCCACTCCCGACCCGGGTTTAATCCCCAGCATCTCATATGGTCCCCCGAGCACCACCAGGAGTAATTCCTAAGTGCAGAGCCAGAAGTAAACCCTGTGCATTGACGAATGTGACCACATGTCCCCCCCACCCCCCCAATAAAAAGGATGCTACCTGAACCAGGGACATTTGTCCTGGACTATAACAACTGAGACCTCGCCCAGGTTTCAGAGCCTCTTGCTCTAGGCGGGGTGATGTGTGCTTGGTTAAGAGACCACCAAGACTAGCAGACAGAGCTAGTTCTCGTCACAAGACAGACTGATCCACCCTTGTGTACGGTAAGTATTGTATTCAGAGACCTGAAGCTGAACTGAAAAGCTAAGGGGCCTAAGGGCACAAAGCTGATAATTTAGTCCAGTTCCAGCTTGCTCCAAAGGCCATTCCTCTAACTTCTCAGAGCGAAGCCCTCTCCAAAACTACTGCTAAATAAACGATCAGAGCACCCTTAGAGAAGAGGATAAAGGTACCGTCTTGCTGAGAGAGGTCAGTGTGGTTCAGGGAGATGGCTCAAAGAAGTGGGATGTGTAACTGCACTTTGCATGCAGGACACCTGACACCATGTGGTTCTCCGAGCACTGCTGGGGGAGTCCACCCCACCCCCAAACCTAATAAAAAAAGTTGAGTGTGGCAGCATGGTGGAGAGTCCCGCTCCACTCCAGGCGTTTGCTCCTGCCCTACGATGGTCTCAGCGCTGAGATTTCTCCAGCAGCTGGTCCCTTCTCCCAGCACACTCTGCTCTAAGGCGAGACCCGGGGTCACAGTAACTCCCCAGAGCCATGATGTATCCCCAGCGTCCATGGGAACTCTCCTCCCCGCCATTCACACACTTTCCAGTACTGACTCTTATGCTCCCCACGGGACCCTGAATTCTCAAGAGATGGGTGGTCTAGGGCCAGAAGAGAGGATAAAAAAATGTGTGGATGAGACAGGGCAAGAAAGGATCAAAACCAAGCCCCTGGGGACAGAGAAAACAGTAGCGGTTGCTGTGTCTTACACCTGCGGATCAGGAGCCGGGCTGATAACCTTTATGTGGATAATTAAATCCTCACAATGACTTTAATAATATAGTCACTACGATGATCCCATTTCATATAGGAAATCTGAAACTTTGGTTAAATATCTTACCCAAGATTGTGTTCATGGGGAAACAAACAACCACTACCAGGAATCAGCTGGAGTGATTGAACATTCAGGAGACCCTGGGTTCAATCCTGGGCACTTCGGGGCTCCCCAGCACCATCAGGAGTGACCTCAGCACAGAGCTAGGAGTAATCCCCAATTCTGCTTGGGTGTGGCCCCCAAACCAAAAGAAGGAGCCAGACTGATAACTTGTTGGGGGAGGGGGGAACTGCACCCACCTGCGTACTCCGCTGTGCTCAGGACTTCCTCCAGGCTCACCTCTCAGGGATCACTCCTACCAGGACTTGGGGAACTAACTGGGATGCCAGGGTTCAAATCCAAGTTGACCACACACAAGGCAAATACCTGCTGTACTATCTCTCTGGCTCTTCTTTTTGTTTTGGGGCCACACTCAGGGTGCTCAGGGATTACTCCTGAGTGGGAATTGAACCCAGGGTCAGCTGCATGCAAGGCAAACATTCTAGCTCTGTACTATCACTTCGTCCCCCCCTTAAAACCTAACTTCAGAGCCAGAATGATAGTACAGCAGGTAAGGCACTTGCCTTGCATGCAGCTGACCCAGGTATGATCCCTGGCACCCCACATAGTCCCCTGAGTCCCTGAGCCTGCCAGGAGTGATCCTTGAGCACAGAGCCAGGAGTAAGCCCTGAGCACCGCTGGGTGTGTCTCACCCCACCCCACTGCACACACACACAAAAGCTTTTTCTACTAGGACTAAGGGGTCAGTGAGGGGCCGGAGCAATAGTACAGCAGGTAGGGTAGCTGACCTGAGTTCAATCCCCAGCATCTCATATGGTCCCCCAAGCACCACCAGGAATGATTCCTGAGTGCAAATTCAGGAGTAACTGCTGAGCATCTCAGGGTATGACCCAAAAAGAAAAAGGGGAAGGGGGGTCAATGAATCAAGGGACAAGCTGATGTGTAAGAAAAGTTTATTAGCTATAAGTCTATTAGCAACAAGTTTGGAAGATGGTGTTCCCATCCTGGAGAACTCACAGCCTGCTGGGTCACAAGAAGAAGCTAACGCAGGAAAGGAAGGGCCAGTGAACTATTTTGAGATTGGTCATGGCGACACCAGTGCCATGGTGGGTGCCTGGGTAATCAATCAGTTCGGCTAGAGCCAGATAACTGTTCGATAAATCAGAAAAAAAAAAAAGATCTCAGATGAGGGGTTCTTCCCTCTCATGCATACCCTTTTCCAAAAAGGACATGATAGGGGAAACATTCTTGCCGTTCTCAACAGCCAGTGGAGCTGGCCAGTTTGGAGTTCCTCTCAGTTCCTTTTGGGCCGGTTTCTAGAGGATTTTTAGAATTCTCTCACATGCACGTTCCCTTCCTCCAGAATGTAGGAGGTGCTCACAGGCTGGGAGGTGTGGCACGGGGGGGGGGGGGGCGGGGGGTGAAGAGATTGCCCTCTGCGGGGTGGTCTGGGATTCAGCACATCCTCTCTGCTACCTCTCCAACTCTCCTTATTGGGCTTCCTGGGCCTGGCCACCGCCTCCCGCGGGCTTGTGCTCCCCGTTCTGTTGGGGGCAGGGAGTCAAGGCTGACGCTGGAGTCTAAGGCCCGGCTGTGCTATATATAGCCCAAGCCAGTGGAATGGCCAGGAGGTGCAGGGAAGGACGTGCGCTCTGACTTTGAGCTTGGCAGGGTTGTGTGTGAGGGACTATGAGGAGTGAACAGGACAGGTCAGAGGACTCTCTCAAGCAGGATGGGAGAGAACCGGCTACAGGGCTAGCAGAGGCAGAGGGGGGAGATTGAGGGGCAACGGAGAGTAAAGGAGAGTAACCAGAACAGGCAGGAACTGTGGAAGTTTCCAGATGTGGCTGAGCTGACACAGAGCAGTGTTCTGGAATGACCCCGGGGGCAGGAGTAGCCTTGGGTGCTGTTGGGGAGCGTTTCCTGTTGGTTCACTTAAGCGATTTCCAGGGAGGTCCTGAGTAAACTTTTTTTTTCTTTTTCTGAAAAGGGGGTGATAGACCATATAAGTTTGGGATTTTCTGCTCTAGAAGGTGCCTGAGGTGAGAAGGATGTGACTCCTAAAAACAGGTGCCAAGTTCCAAGAACTTGGCAGCACTGTCCAAGGACAGCCCTAAGAGAGAGCCATGGGCCTGGGACCAGGAACGTGCTTTGGCACCCACTATCTTCCTGGGGAAACATTTAAAAAGATCGTAGGGAGGGCCCAAGTGATAGTGCAGGGCTTAGGCGCCTGCCGAGCATACCATGCCAATCAGGCCCCAGTACTGCACAGGCACCTGAGTGCTGCCAGCTGAGAGCCATGAGTATCAGCAGGAGCAACCCCCACCCCCAAGTACAGGGCCAGAAATGGCCCTCAGGCACTGCTGGAAGTGGCCCAAACATCCCCCTCAAAAATT